ACTGCGGCGCGCCCACCCGGAGGTAGAGAGTGAGGCCCAGGCCACACGGAATGTGACATCTCATCGCCGGCTCTGGGCCATGAGACATGACCCCAGAGCCACCCACCAAACTGCGCAGCATCTTCCTTACGCGCTGTGACCGTCCCCCCACGCTGACTGTGCTGACTCTGTGCCTCTGACCCCCGGATCCAGCAGGTGACCTCTTTAATGTGAATGACCTCTGCAGACTGGATCTCCTCTAGAGGGCAGGGACGGGTTGAGATGTCCCGGATCCCCCAACTTGGATCTTTCCAGTCCTGGGGATAGCTAGGCCTGTATTCCACGCTTGGACTGTTGTATTCGAAGGGCATACCCATTGTACAGCCTGGAAACCCGGTGGCTTCCCGAGATTTCTGCCTCAGAGGGGAGGCCGTGGGGATACCGACATCAGCTTCTGCCCCTGCGCACGCTCACAAGCACTGTGCTGGGCTGTACCAGTTCTGTGCCTTGAAATTCCTCCAAAGTCATGTACACCCCTAACACGTGACATTTCTGTGTGCACTGAGTCAGTCTGGGCTCCCGCAGGAGAGATTCATGCGGCCCACCCAAAACTGGGCTGAGAATAACTAAACTACAAGGACTTAGTTCTCCAGCTGCTCCATGGTACCGCTAAGCAGACTGCTGGGTGGAGTACAAGGAATTGCCCTCAAGGCTGGCACTCTGCCCGGGAAAAGCTACTGCCAAATATGAAATGTGTGGGGCACAACTTAAATAGCCCAAAGCATTAGTGTTTGCTTAAATCGTGGTCTGAAAGGATCAAGAGATTTGACCTCTGAGTGGCCTCTGAGTTAGAGTAAAAATAATACTAACAACAATAAAATACGATTAATTGAAGGCTTGCTATGTGCTCTATGCATTCTCTGTAATTCTGAAAAGTAGCTGTCATATTTTTTCTCAGAGAAGTGAAATAACTTTCCTAATGTCATATAACAGAGCCCAGTGTTCCATTTGGTTTCCTAAGGTAATATGCAGATTAGTTAGGTGATCAGGAGGAAGGGAGTCAATAAGTAATCCTTAAGGGTTAACAGATAGTGTTTTACAAATCACTGATAAAGTGAGAGGCAATAAAATGCTTGAAATAGATATGATATCAGGTCCATAGGTTTTGGTAATCCAGATTTACTATACAGCTTAGTTTATTCCACTTTAAATCTTTTCTTACTCATGTTTCAAAAAAAAAAGTTCTGGTGACAGTAGTTGTGAATTTTATTTATATGGAACATTAATTCATAGAATAAAAAGAGAGGGTCCTCCCTGGTGGTGCAGTGGGTTAAAGCACAGCACTAAGAAGCTAAAGCCACTTCAGCATGAGTACCATCCCCGGCCCCAGAGGTGACCCACATGGTGCAGCAGACCTCTCCTGGCCTGCCCACTACTCCCCTCAGCAATGTACTTCGTCAGTTAGCCTGTTCTGCTCCCCACTCTGTCTCTTGTGAACCCTCTCACCATCCCTGCACCTCTGGCCTGTACCCCAGTTCTGTATGCATAAATAAATAAATCTTTAAAAAATAATAAAAAAGAGAAACTATAGTAATATAAAAGTAACAACTTTAAAAGCGTTGCTTCAGTATATTTTTTAAATATGTATATAGCTTCAGTTCATTTTTAGAGATGAAACTCTGAGATCAACATTCTTCTATCTACCCTAGAAATATGAATCGCTTAAGAAGTGGCTTTTTTTTTTTTAGGTAAAATCCATTATAGTATCAGCAGTAGGGAGAGGGGCTAAAAATTCAAATCCCTAGACCTTCATTATCATTACTTCCAAGAGCTTTGAAAGAAAATACTCATCAGAGTTCTAAATAAAGACAAGGAAAAGCAAAGAAAGACACTGAAGAGCCCATGACCATTTTTATTCTTTATTAGAATCATTTGATATCTTCAACAATTTTGCTTCCAACAGAGATCTTCTTGGCAAAAAACACTTCTGTAAAACCAAACTGTAGTCTGAAGTATGAAAAAGCCACTTTTCTGATATGAGATCAGATAGGGATTCCCAGGGCTTATCTGTGCTAACAGCACCCAGCAAGTGTTGCTGGTAAATTGTAGAAATTTGGCCTTTTCCATTCTCACTGTTATCTGACAAAATTTTTTGTGGTAAAAGCTTCACGCCATTCATTTTACCCAATGATAAAGTCTTAGAGGGATAATTTTTCTTTTTCTTTGATGCTTCCTTTTCTGAGCCTTTCCATAGTTCAACATTATTTTGCATCTTCCGTTGGGTCTTTTCCTCATCAGGAAGGGAAACCAAGGGCCTCAAGCCTTTTTTCCCTTTTCCAGAAGTGCATTTTGATTTCTCTGAAACAGTATGGGAGGGTTTATCTGAAACTGTGGGAGATGTCACGACTGTGCTTTTATCCCGAACGTTTGCATTCAGGACCCGGACAGAACTGACTGGAAGCGAACCGCGGGCACTATGATAGCTCAGTTTCAGCAAGTACTCCCACAGAGAAGTGCCACCCCCAGGCCTCTCAGAGTTGTGCTGGCTCAGGCCTTGAGGCCAACATCTCCTGTCTCGGATCCGCTCGATTTCCCTCAGAAGACTGCAAAAGATCAAAAGTTGTTGAGAGGTCACCTGCAGAACATGAATAAGCAGAAGCAATCTCATGTTGAAATGTAGGACAGAAACTCACTGCAGGATTCCGTGGATGGATGAATGAGCAGATCCCAGGTGGGTCGCCCTCAGATCAAGTGATCTGTACAAGTAGCGTACGGCCTCCGTCATGGCAGGATGGCCCGAGTCAACGATCAATAACTGACCTGCTGAATATTTGAAAATAAGAATATCACCATTTTTGAAAACGTGAACAACTATAAGTACCTCCAAGCTAATGCCGTTGACAGAGTATAAAATGTGTTTATAAAAAGTGGCATCAGAAGGCCTCCCTGATGATGCAAGGGGTTAACTCTCAGCACTGTGAAGCTCTCCACAGCCACTGCAGCACAAGTTCAATGCCCAGCCAGGGAGTGACCTACACAGCACAGCAGACCTCTCCTGTCTCACCTTTTGCTCCCCTCAGAAGTGTACTTCCTCAACCTACCTTTCTGCTCCCCACTCTGTCCCTGTCTCTGATGAATCTTCTCACCCACCCCCAACACCTCTGGCTTACGCCCAGTTCTTGTATGCAAAAATAAATAAATCTTTTTTTAAAAGTGGCATTAGAAAATCACTTATCACAGTATTCTTGCCCCAAAGATTTAACCTGAATTTAATTGTAAAGAATCACTCAGACAAATACAAACTGAAGGACATTGAGGCAGGAAAGGTCAAGCAGAACCTGACCTATGTTCTTCGAAATGTCAGTCATGAAAGACAAAACAATGCTGTGGGCTGAAGTAATGCAAGATCTTCAATATTGTCCTGGAACAAGAGGCAAACAGCTGTGAGGAATATTACCAGGACACTTGGGGACACCTGATGTTAAGCTGTCCACTAGATAATCGTCTTCTGCAGCAGTTAAATTTCCTAGGTTTGACCATGAGATATTCTGGCTCTGTAGGAAAACGTCTTTGCATTCAGCAAACAAATGACTCAAGTATTTAAAAACAAAAGTATCGCATCTGTAATCTTCCAACAGTTCGGAAAAACACTGTGTATCTATGTCTTTGCATGGTATTAAAAAGAGGAGGCAAAAATGTTAGCAATTGATAAAATAGGTGACGATAAAACAGGTGCTCACAAAGGCGTCACGCAATAACTTAACATAGTGCTTTAAAATGTGTTAGAGTAAAGAAAAAGTACACTTAACAATGTACTGAAAAATAATTTGCAAGTACTCATTCATTTTATGCATTTCCAAGGGGCTGAATTGTTGTCAATATCACTTGTTATTCACAACATGTAAGGTCCAAGGATGGCGGGGCCCTGGTCTGGGATGGACTGCTGGGTCTGTACAGGCCAAAACGCCGACCTATGACACCACCAGCGCCTGCATTAGTAATAATGACAACAGTAAATTCAAGTAAGTAATTCCCATCTGTGAGGAAGACCTATGTAATCCTGGAAGATAAAAACTATCATCACTTTATCTTTTTTTCATTTATTCTTTTAACGAGACATACATCCACATGATTCAAAAGTGAAAAGAGATATAAAGTGCCAAGTGTCTCTCGCATCTCCAACCCATTCTGTGCAATGTTCTCCTAAAACGTGTCCTCTCAGACAGTTTTTAGTATGTGTTCATTGTCATTTAAAGATGACAAACTGAAAGAGGTTCAGTAACTTGTTCCAGTTGGTGGTGGGATTATCCTGGGCTGGCCTCGCCTCAGGTCCATGGCTAAACCCCTAACCCAGGCTGCCTGGCTTGGCCTGCCCGCGGGGCTCCTGTCTGCAGAGATGAGCTCTCTGCAGCTCTGTTTCATGTTCATAGCTGGGTCTCATGCTGCCTGCAGCTGCTTCTGGAAATCTGAGAATTTCAGCTGTTAGCACTGCTTAGCAATCTGGCTACTTTCCTTCTTTCTGAATTATTTTTATGATCCCTGTGATACCAGTCCAGCTCAGAATACACCTTGTGAATTACCATGCTCAGCATGGCCATGCTGCACTGGCCTTAGCTGGCCTTCAATGGTAAAGTAAGGGAGAGAGAGCCAGGATTCACACATGGTGACTGAGTAAAGATTCATTTGTATGAATCCCATGGGTCCAGAGAACCCCAATAAGCAGATCCCATAGATTCTTCATTTTGTCTTCAGCCCTTTGAGAGTCTCAGGACTCGCTACAGGGTTGAGATTGTCCAAGGGACCAGCTTCGGGTGCCCTTGACCCACCGGTCTCCCTTTTGAACACCAGCTTAACTCCACAGCCCCTTTATACACCTGACCTGTTCTAGACCTAGGACATTAGCTTTGGCCTCAGAATTTTCTTGGCCTCGCTGATTACTCTTTCTCACAGCAAGCACAGTAGCTCGCTTTCCATCCTTACCTCAGGTCCAACCCAATCCACCCCGTCTTCCCTCAGGGTACCAGATGGACAGCTATCCAGTATCATATCTTCATCCTGGATGGGGAGGGCACCTAACTCCCACTGGCTGTTGTGCACATTCCGTTCCATTCAATTTTCACAACGTCCTACAGACGTTAGTGTCCCTTTTTGGCCAGTTAAGAATACTGAGACTTAGAGAGTGATGTCCACAAGGCCAGAAAATAGTAGCAGTGCGATTCAAATTCAGTTCTCTAGAATCCAAAGGACAGAATTCTAGAAATGGGACAAAAGAACACTGCTCTCTCCATAGCATTTGTTCTTTAGGAGATTTTCCATAAAAGAACAGCTAGGAAGAAAGCATCACCCATTCCGTTTTGTTCTCCTGGACAGAACCACATGCTCCTTATTTCTGGGGAAAGGGGAAAAGCCCCACCAGTCCCTTGCAAGGCCATTATCAGATTTTATAATGATTAGTTTTCTTCCTTTTTTTAATGATTAAAATTTTTAAAGATTTATTGATTTATGCCTACAGAACTGGGGTACTGGCCAGAGGTGCGGGGGGTGAGAGGATTCACCAGAGCAGAGTGGGGAGCAGAACAGGCAAATATACTGAGATACTGCTGAGGGAGCAGCAGGCAAGGCAGGAGAGGTCTGTTACACCATGTGGGACAGCTCCCTGGCCGGGGATCAATCTCGTGCTGCAGTGGCTGTGGACAGCTTCATAGTGCTGTGCTTTAACCTGTTGCACCACCAGGGAGAGCCCCTTTTAGTGATTAACATTAAAAACAAAGTGGTATATTTATAATTACCTCTACAGGGAGAAAGCAAGTTATTTTATTCAATACGGTCTCTGTACAACTTTCCAAAATCTCCATTCTACTGAAATTTAAACTGTTCCTCTTATTTCATATAATACTTGCTACCAGCTAGCTAGTGGCTTGCTGCACTGCCAGCCCAGTGTTTATTTCCTCCCCAGCCCACAGCTGCAATTCAAATGACTGTCACTAGGCAAGGAGGAAAGTCTCAGGTATTGGGAGAGGTGGTCAGGCAGCTCCTTCTACTGAGCCCAGACGCCGTGGACACTGCCCAACTTCCCGTCCTGGGAGCAGCCTCTACTCCAGAAGACAGGTTACAAATGCACAGTGAGGAAGGAGGATTGTGCAATAGCTGAAGGTTCTTTGTTGAAAGTTTCTTCTTGTTTGCTAAGACTGCTATGTCTAAAGTTGTCAGAAGTCCTTGGCTTTAAACAATTGTTTGCTCAGTCTTTCAAACAACTGTGTCTTGTCTATAAACAGGTTGGGGGGCAGGGGAGTAAGCAATCATTGTCCCAAATAAAGTAAAAGGTTGTAATTGGAGGTTTCTTTCAACTTCTACCCTTAACAACAAATGAGACTGTGTGTGTTTGGAGAACATCAGGGCCCCTTCCCTCCACCACCCCAGCCTTTCATCAAGACTGGCTAAGACTGGCTCGTCAGCTGTGGGACCAGGCTGCAGAAGGCAAGTAGCAGCCTCTGTCTTCCACCCCTACCCTGCACAGTCAGCGTCCACTCAAGGGACAGGGCCTGTGTAGCACCCACTGTTGGGTAAAGGAAGCAAATTCATTGTTCTGGCTTAGCCAGGCTTTGCCCTACCACTTCACCCCAAAGTGAAGGTTGCTCGTACACACAGGTCTGTGCCCAGGCTGGTGGCTGGTTCTCTGCCCTCTCGTTTCTCAGCCTCTGGGGTTTCACCGCACCTCAGCCTATCTCAGTGCTGTTCCTCATCGTTGAGGCGACTGTTTCCTCTGACCCTCCCTAGGTTCCCTCTCCTGTCATTCCTTGTCAGTTTTCTTGGCTCTTCCAGCATTTGACAAGGCTGGGCCGCAGAGTGAATGCCAAGGATTCCCAAATCTTTTTCTGCAGCTCAGACTTACGGCTTCCAAGTACCACCTACATATTCGACTGTCTACTGAGCATCTCCACTGGGATGAGAGATTCACACTCGACATGCTCCAAATGAGCTGCCTGCAGCTCCCACCCCAGCTCTCAGCCTGTGCTTCCTACTTTGGAAGAGCAACAGCATCACCCGCTGCGGCCCAGTCACCAGCTGAGAGTGCCATGGCTGCTCCCCTCTTCACCCTCCCCAAGCCCACTCAGGTCCGAGCCCCGTCAGGTTCAACTACCAAATCTCAAACCCGACCCTTCTCATCGCCACTGTCCTGCCTCAGCTTACACAGGAGGTGCCCTGCGCCCCCTTGCCCAGCCTCCTCCTCCATTTACCAGAAGAGAGTGACTAGCTGACCTCTGGGGACACTAAGTGCCCATGAAGGAGTTCAAAATAGGCCTCCCCAAGATATGCCACTTGGCATACGGATTATTTTAGGCTGCAACCAATTGAGGCCCTGCAGGCTCAAAGGAAACTTTCACCACTCCCTTAACTACAAAGGTGAAATTTGGGGGGTCACTCAGACCACCAGTCACTACTGGGGTAAGCTTTCCAGCTGAATAGCCAGCCTACGGCAGGGAGACACCAGACGTCTGCTCTTCTCTTCTTCGCTGCTTTGGAATTCCCTTCCTCCCCGGGTGAAGCCCCGAGCCCCCAGCCCCTGTCCTTAGCCAAGGATGGCATGTAGCCAAATAGTCCCTTTCCTTTTCTGTGCTTGGATTTCTTGTGTCTATGTGGGCTCCTTGTACACAAGAAATTAAAGGTTTTTTTTTTTAATGTGTCTGCTTGGTGTTAATTTGATCATTTGACTATTCCAAGAAGAACCGAGAACAGGTAAGAAAAATCCCCTTGCAACTAATAGCTTCCTCTCTATTGTGCTGGCAGGCTTCTGCTCCTGGAAGCGGGGTTCTGGCATGATTAAGGGTCCCTGGGTTTGTCAGTCTAATCTGGGTGATCTACAAAGTACAGATAAGCTAATAAAATCCGAGCATGAAATGAAAAGAAGTTGTTTTCTACCAAAAAATAAGCTGAATGCTTAGAATTCTTACAAATTATGAGTAGGTTAAAAAAAATTTTTTTAAATGAAGGCAGGGAAAGACAACAATCTGAAGTTCCCAATACACAGGTTACATCAGAATTGTCTAAGTTCTCACCCTAAGAAAACAAAACTAGAAATTGTGGGTGAGGCATTTTGAGAAAGGGACATCTAATCCCGATCAGAGAAGCAGTTATATAAAAAAAGGAACCAAGGTGATAAACTTTAAATTGGGGGTGGGAAAGGATGACATCTTACATTTCAGTTAAAATTAAAATGCAATGTGTGTGTGTGTCACTTAACTGACTTTGGGGATCAAGGCGCCCGCGGCCACAGAGTGGAGGGCGCTGGCTGCGCCGGCACCTTCACTCCACAGCGGAGGCGAGGTCTGACTCACCCTGCTGAAAGTCACCCACTAGGGCCCTTATTTAATTTCTTCCTTCCAAATGTGAACGAGATGGTTGGCATTTCTTATTTAAAAGAATCCCAGGGAGAGGGAAGAAACATAATGTTCATCTAGCACACTTCCTCCAAAATAAACAGTTCCGTGCAGAATACTCAGCTTGATAGAACAGAATATGAAAAATCACACTTCTGGGCTTTTTCTCCTATGAAATGGCTTCTTCTTTTTTTAAAAAAAGATTTATTTATTTATGCATACAGAACTGGGGTACAGGCCAGAGATACAGAGAGTGAGAGGATTCACCAGGGACAGAGTGGGGAGCAGAACAGGCAGATCGACCAAGTACACTGCTGAGGGGAGCAGGGGGCGGGTCAGGAGAGGTCTGCCTGGACATGTGGATCTCCTTCAGGGCAGGCGGGATTGAACTCATGCGAAAGTGGCTTAAGCTTCTTAGTGCTGTGCTTTAACCTGCTGCGCCACCAGGGAGGGCCCTGAAATGGCTTCTTAATGGGCAGATTTAAAACACTCAAAAAAGAATAAGATCCCTGTGTCCAAAGTAACTTGGAATATTGATCACAAAAAAAAAAAAAACCTTTTGATAGAATCAATATTCAAATATCTAGAATTAACAGTTTTATTAGAGCAAGGTTTTTTCTTGAAACCAGTAAAGCTGAGAGGAGATGAGCTTTAAAGGCTATATCAAAAAGAGATTTCACTTTTTAGTAAGTGCCTCAAGAAATTGTGATCAGGAAAAGAAAGAAAATTTAGGATTTATTGCTCTCTGGCAAATCCATCCTTTTAATGTATCTCACTCTAACATAAAAATATGCATAAAAATCATGGTGGGTATAATTAAAATCTGAATTATTATTGCTGAACTCCATGATGGTCATACACCTTGGAAAATGATGCTGTATTTACGTGTTGATCAAATGTAATAATAAAAGACAGGGAGGAGTGGAAACTTCCCCTTAACCCTCTAGGATCTTCTTAGGCTGGTCAAGCAATCAAATTGTCATGAGATAGGTTAGTAGAAGAAAATCCAAATTTAGTTACATACATGGAGTGTCTACATGGGTGTGGATTCAAAAGCCAATGGAGCAAAATGAGGACCTGTGTATGAAAATATTCACACAGACGCACCTGCGCTGACAGACGGGGGCTGGGCTCTCAGGGGAAAGGAGGAGGCCCCACACCATGGAGACCACATGCTCCTCAGGTAGATACCACACAGACAGGTTTCTCTGACAGAAAACTATTTAAAACTATTTGGGTAGAAACCCTGATTCTGGGTGATACCCCCAACTTTTATTCTTCTCAGTAGTTAAGGAAGTGGGAAAAGTTTCTCATGAGTCTGCAGGGCCTCACTTGACCTCAGCTCAAATCAATCCACAGCCACAGAGAAGCATTGGGAAGACCTGTTCTGACAGGAGCAAACTCTCCTTCAAGACTAAGGAATGTGGGCCCTCCCTGGTGGCGCAATGGGTTAAAGCGTAGCACTACAGAAGCTAGCCTAACCGCAGGCACTGAGTTTGATTCCAGCCAAGGAGGTGACCCACGTGGTGCGGCAGACCTCTCCTGTCTCACCCATTGCTCCCCTCAGTTGATCTGCCTGTTCTGCTCCCCACTCTTCTCTGCTAAATCCTGTCACCACCACTGCACCTCTGGCCTACACCCCAGTTCTGTATGCATAAATAAATAAATCTTTAAAAATAAAACTAAGAAATGTGCCAAACCTTTCAAGCCAGCAGTTACCATACTTAATGCTATAATCCAAGCTGAAATCTGAAAAATCAACTAAAGATGATTATTTTCAATAGTTAAAACTATAATGTGGATTGTTTGTTCAAATGTGGTTAGCCTGGAGCAGAGCCACTGTCTCTGATGGGTGCTCAGGCTAACTAGGAACTACATAAGCACCCACCAAGAACCAGTTCACCCACTCCTCACACTCGCCCCTCCTCCACGGACAGAGCACCCACATATAGCCAATACTCTGTAGTGCTGTGAGGACACAAAGAAAAGACAGCAAGGCTCTAGTTCAGGGACTGTGAACCTTTCTCCTCTTCAGCAAATGAGTAGGATGTGAAGTGGGGAACAAACACTCTTTCTGCAGCTGGACCAAGTCCTAGGTTCTCCTGTAAAACCAGGGTGGCCCGTGTGAAAATCACCCCATTATTTCTGACCACACGTGGCGTTAGCATCACAGTGTGCCGCTAGCAGTGCAAGTCTAAAAAGGGGGCTTCCTGCATAATGTCTTGAAACAGAATTTGAGGAGAGGAAGGAGCCTCCACTGACGGACAGGGTGTGCTTGGGCGTAGTGCTCAGCCCACAAAAGAATGAGACACGGAATGGAAAAGATTTTTAAAAGATGTATTTCTACTATGAGCTGAAGTGTCCCCCTAAAATTCATATGTTGAAACTCTACAGTGACCACATTAGGAGGTAGGGCTTGTGGGGGTGATTAGGTGGTGAGGGTGGGGTCCTTGTGAATGGGATGAGTACCCTCATCAATGGGACCCCAGGGAGCTCCCAACCCCTTTCTGCTGCCTTGTGAAGACTCTATGAGAAGATGTCACTAATGAACCAGCAAGTAGCACCTCACCAGACCCGGCATCAGCTGGCACCCCGAACTTGGAATTCCCAGCCTCTGGAACTGTGAGAAATAAATTTCTATTGTTTAAATGCCCAGTAACTGGCATTCTGTTAATAGCAGCCCTAACAGACTAACCACATCTTAGTGAGGTAAAGGAACCAATCAAGGTAGCAAGCTAAGTTAAAAGTATGTGGGTCAAGAGCTGTTTGCTTCAACATTGATGTTATTTTTTATAAAGATGCTATTTTTTATGCAAGAGGGCAAGCCCCCGATGTCTAACAGCCTAGGTCAGGGCAGTTACCTAATTTACACAAGGTGTCGCTTAGGCTGATGCCCAGCTGCTTCTTGACGAGCAAAGAGCTGGCGAGCGTGCGTGCATTTTCCTTTATATCTATCACTTGCTTATAGTATTCGATTGCTTTCTTCCTTAGGAATCTAAAAAAGAGAAACTTCGTTAAAGTTGTGCACTTTGACGCACGGCAGTTGTTCACTCGAGTAGTCACAGAAAAGGCGTTGGCACTGCTGATTATTAGGAAGTGCAAATCCAGTCCACAGCGAGATGTCACCTCACACTGGTTAGAATGGCTATTATCCAAAAGCCAAGCAATAATTCATATGGGTGAGGATGTGCAGATAAAGGAAACCTTGTACACACTTGGTGGGAATGTAATTGGTTGCGACACTATAGGCACCAGGGTGGAGGTCTGAGAAGGAGATGCAGACAACACCCCGTCATCTTAGGATGTGATTAATGGCTGAAAACCTAGACATAGATGAGGCTGAGGAGCTCAGAGCAAGCCCGGAGCCCAAGAACTGAATGTAAGAGAAAGCCACCATTTGGACAGGAGTCCAGGACAGAAAGAGAAAACCGCAAGAGAAACAGAGAAAGCGCAGTCTGAGATGTCCATGAGGGAAGGTCTCCCTCAGAAACCAGGAGGGTGTGATTCCAGGAATGGGGTGGTCAGCTCAAAGTGGAGAAAGAAGCAGGAGAGGGCCAACCAGCTCAAAGTGGAGAAGGGCACATGGACATCCCGATGGCCACCCTACCAGGCCAGATGGAATCAGGTGGAGGTAAATAACAACAGTGAATGGGAAGTGGGGAAGTAAATAAACTTGACCATGAGAGGATAGTGATGGAAAGACAGCTGGATGGCTACAAAGCTGAGAAACAGATGACATTTATCTCCCTGAGGTCATCTCATGTCAATCTGTCAATTCTTCTCTGCCCTGTGTTTTTACTTTTTTTTTTTTTTTAAAGATTTATTTATTTATTCATACAGAACTGGGGTACAGGTCAGAGATGCGGAGGGTGAGAGGATTCACCAGAGACAGAGTGGGAAGCAGAACAGGCTGATCAATGAAGTACACTGCTGAGGGGAGCAGCGGGCGGGCCAGGAGAGGTCTGCCACGCCATGTGGTCACCTCTGGGGCAGGCAGGGATCGAACTCATGTGGAAGTGGCTTTAGTTTCTCAGTGCAGTGCTTTAACCCGCTGTGCCACCAGGGAGGGCCCTGTTTTTACTTTTTTAACTTGACTTCATTTATCCAATCCTTAGGCCTCCTATTCCACAAGGTCTCCACAGGGGCCCTGGGATCGCTTCTGTAGAGCATGAGAGCTGTCTTGAGGGTTCCTGACCACCAGACCAAGGATCTATATACATTTTGGAGGATTTCCAGCTGCACAGGGAATATCTTCTGGTTTTAACCAAGGTTAAAGATGCAGTCACCTAAGAACAGCTTACAACAAGGAAAAGGGCTTCCTGATTGTTTTGGAAGGTTGATGCTGAGAGTGAGGTCTGGGAAGACAGCATGCAAGTCTGGTCAGGCTCTCTGATAAAGAGCCCATGCTGGAGAAACAGCTCAGCAAGATGAGGTATCTCATGACTCGACACCCTAGCAGCTCTGGATTTGAGGTGGCACAGACCAGGAAGTAGAGATTACCTAGTCACTATGCTAGAGGCTTAGATTTTTTTTTTTACAAGACAATAGTTCTGTCAAGTCTTTTGCTTCTCTAAAGAAATTCCTGTACTCTGCTCATTGAGTTGGTCTTAAAAGGATCAAAGGGAAGTTTATATGGTTTCAAGTGCCTCAAAAATTACCCACTGGAGAGCAAAATAACAATAACTAAGCACTCAATTTGAAATACTTCTGTATGTGTCAGCCTTTCTGTTAAGCATGTCACATATAAGAAGATGCAATTACCATTCTCATTTTACCAATGAGGAAATGGATGAGATGGTGAGTCAGGGCCTAAGTTCTCACTGTCACTAAACAGCAAAAACAAAATTTGAACCCAGGTAACTGGACACCAGAGTCCAGCATCTTCCCACTACTGTCCACGCCAGTAATTTTACTCTGAGATACTACTTTGCGTGAGCTACTCTTTGAAAGGTAAATTCTCTTGATTTGCCTTAAATGTTGGAGATTACCAACATCACATTCTCCCAGGAACAAAAGCTGGAAGAGATCACCTTCCTGGGCAGAAGGATGAGGGAAATTTTCTTGAGGGAAGTGGAAGGGGAGACAGGGAACAAGGAAGGGAGGGAAAGAAACTACAAGCCCACAACCTCAGTTTAAGCAAGAGGGCACATGGCCAGCCCGTCAGCTGAGTCAACTATGAAAGTGTACAAGCCCAGCCAAAGGAGAGGAGAGGTGTATAGGACTCTCTGTGCACTCAGTGAGAACCTTCTCCCATACAAACTGCAAAGAGAAGTAGTCATGAGACAGGAGGGATTCCAGAACAGACAGTACAGGACTCAAGGACAAAACTTTGCTGTTTCCATGCCAGGTAAAGAGCAAGTAAAAGCCAGATGAATCTAGGCCTGATCACCTCTTGCTCACAGGCCTGTGTGTGGTGCTGCAAACACAGTGGTCTCAAACTCCTTGGTACCTTTCCTACCACTCTGTCCATGGGTTAAGAGCTCCTTTTGGTTTTCTTAAGGTTGGCAACTTGTAAAACAGATTGGGTCTGAATCTACCAGAGTGCTGAGGGCTTCAGCTGGTGCTAAAGAAGTGGCACTTCCCCAGTGGACAGCCCCAAACCTCCCAGCCACTGGTAGCTTTGGGGGGGGAAGAAGGAGACACACTACTTAAAACAGTTCATAGAAACTTACTTTTGATAATCTCTTAGTGGAAAAAATAGTAAGTCCGCTAAAACTTCCATAACTTCTCCAACTAGCATGTTTTTCTCACCAAACAAACTTTTCCTGATATTTAAGCACTCTTGAAATTTTGTCATTGCAAGACAATTGTTTCCAGTCGCTAACCTGAAAATAAAACATATGCGCATTATTTAAGAGCATGATGCACATGGCCTAGCTCCACCATGCTATCAAAAATAACCTCTTAACCATCCTTTATTTTATCTAAAAAGCTGTGCAGCACAGCTGTTGACCATTGTAGCGATTTAGAAGATGTGTGCACTGTCGGCACGTGGGCTGAGGGTGGCCCCGTGCCCTCGGCAGTGTTCTGGTGTCTACCCATGGTCATCAACAGCAGCCCCCAGCCCTGACAACCGGAAGCTTCTCCAGACGGTGGTGGAGAGCCACTGAACTGGGGGATGAAAACGCTGAAATTCAGCACTTGAGACAGTCCGCTGAATGGGAGGTGGATTGACTAGTGTGAATTTAGTATATCAAACACCTAAAAGCCAACAATGAAAGCTAGTACAGAGAAGAAGACAACTGTCAAGAAAAAAATATATGTTTACATCAGGACACCTTCGGTGTATTTCATGTCAGCCTGGCTGCCGGGGCTGTTGTCCAACAAGCTGGCAATATCGGCAACATACTCCAGAATGTTTTCTTTCAAGTACTCTTCAGAGGCTGACCTGGCCAGGTTATGCAGCACTTTGCCTGCAGGGAACATATTTTGAACCGTGAGGGTGCTGCTTAAGCTTTTTTTCTCATGAAAGAGTTAAAATGCCAATAGCAGCGAACTTACCATCATAACTTCATCACTGCCCAGGGAAAGGGTTTTTTCTTACTACATGAGTTCCTGACCAGTGTTGCAGGGAAGTTTTCATGTAACAAACCTGTGTGTGCAAAGCAATGCCAGAGCCAAGGAGCTGAGAGGATAGACTGAAACCAAATTCGAGTCTGTTTTACAAATGAATGGGTCAGAAACAGAGTGTGATGGGGAGAAAGCAGTTGTCTCTGGTAGCCAACCTGGCAACAAGAACATTAACCTAAACTGCCTGACAGGAGGAAGCCCATGGGTCAGCCCCCAAACCAGAGAATTAAGTAACAGACTGGACCGAGATGCTCACTGCCCCGCGGATGACTCTCCCCAAACGTTTGCCCTTTATGGAGAGTTGTCTAGTCTGATAATGACACAAGCTCCTAATATAGAAAGTGTCCTCTTATAAACCAATGAAAAATCAACTTTGAAACAATTTGCACAGGGTATAAAAGCGCTTTTTAAGTATACTTTGTTATGGGAAGAGAAGAAATACAGTAATGTTCCCAGAAGGTGTTAGATCATTACTAACAGGACAACAAAAAAAAAAAAAAAAAAAAGGCAGATTTAATGCCCTGTGCTCAAGGATTACCATCAAATGATCAAGAAGCATCTACCCCTTCTACTCATGACCCAGGGCCCACCCTTCCCACACCCCTGTGAGCTCGAGGTGTCAGGGCAGCCGCAACCACATCCTTGTATCCCGACGTTTGATCTTACCCACGTGCCAGGCACTCATGGGGGGCTTTTCAGTCACTTACAAATGCTTTTAGCCTCAGAGCAACCTGCAATACCATTTTGATTCCCCCTTACAGGTATGAAAACTGCAACCCAGACAGGCCGGCCTGTGTCGACAAACAACTAATATGTGGATGGGGGGATTTGAACCCAGAAAGCTGAGCTCTGTCTGAATGGCCCCCCTCCTGATAGAAGCCTCTTCTTCTGAGGTATATCACAAGCACCTGGGACCATCTGAAAGGGGGGGGGGCCTGTCAGAGGAGAGTACTTTTCTGTCACCTCTCATGTGCCCACCACCACCCCCCAAATCAAGCCAACAAGGCATACACATCTTCTCTTTTTGTGGGGAGACTGACTGGGAGACGCAGGAGGCTGTCCCCTCCACTGTGGCTATCATACCTTTTTGCTTCACCAAGTCCTGGTTGTCCATCAAGCAGTTTGACGAAAATTCCATCAGCTTCAACCACGCTTTCTGGAAATACTGGAACCCTTCCTGGGCCAACCCTAACTCCAGGTAGAGTTCCCCGACAGCATTCTGCACCTTGACGAGCATTTCCGCCGTGGACTGACTCTACACAACAGGAAAGAGACCCCCGCTGACAAGCCACAGCCTTGCTCCACCAGCACGGCAACAACACCTGCCTGAGGAATGGCCTTGCTGAAGACGGCACCAGCTACAGCAATCCCATATGTTTACAAGACAACGATGACCGTAAAACATTTACTGAGAGACGCTGCACACAGAAAATTAATTTTGAGAAATGTTTTCATAAGCTGTTAGTGGCCATGAAAATGCTTGAAGAACACCATGAGGGTGTCTTACACATGCTAAAGTGCCAGAGGAGGGATGATCCAGAATTTGGGTGCACAGGTCAAAATACTGCCCAAGTGGCTGGAACTCAAGGGTGGCCAGTACAGCTTGGCACCTCTGCTGCGTACACAGAGGACAAGTCACAAGTGCTTCCTTTGCTTCCCTGCTGCCAGCCGCGCCTACTGGGGAAACTAGAGGGAGGGTGATGGGACCTGCTTTTCTTTCAACAAATACCATTTAAATCAGAGCTTCTCGCCCGAGCAGCACTGACTCTGGGGCAGGAAGCCCCTGTGCCCGGGAGCCTGTACTGCTTGCTGTTCAGCAGCCAGCCTGGCCTCTGTGCCCACTGGCTGCCAGCAGCGATGCCCCCTCCCCACCCTACGGGGACAAGCAAAAACATCTCTAGCAAGTCCCAATATTCCCAGGCATGGGAGGGAGTGGACGGTGGGGGGGCTCCCAATTACAATCCACTCCATTAAAATTTTGAAATAAGGGCTTCCCTGGTGGCTAGGGGTTAATTCTCAGCAGTATCCCCTGAAGAAAGCTAGTGCATGGTTCAAAGAAGCCATCAGTACCTAAGATAGTTTTAGAATCTCTCCTTTGGGGCCCTCCCTGGTGGCACAGTAGGTTAAAGCACAGCACAATGAAGCTATTGCAACCACTGCAATAGCTCCCCTGGCCAGAAAGCTACACACATGGCGCAGCAGACCTCTTCTGACCCACCGGCTGTTCCCCTCAGCAGTGTACTTTGTCGATCTGCCTGTTCTGCTCCCCACTCTGCTATGGCGAATCCTCTCACTCCCCTCCCCCCCGCTCTGCACCTCTAACCTGTACCCCAATTCTGTATGCATAAATAAATCTTTTTTTAAAAAAAAATCTCTTTTGGAAATCCCTTAAGAAAATTACTTCCTCGTTGTCTTTCTAGTGGCTTATTTCAAAGAATTATTCCAATAATATTTTGAAAATAAAATCATCAGGTTAATGCCTCTGAAGTGAGAAAAGCTCTTAGAATGAGCTTTAGCACCACTCCCTCAAAGCCAGCCTCATCCCCTCAGAAACGCGTGTGTGGAGGTCGGCTTCATCACTGACAGATGTTGGCAGGAACTTGCAGGTAGCCTGAGAGTTCCTTGAGGGCAGAAACCATGTCTGCCTTGCTCCCTGCTGTCACACCAACTCCCAGCACAGCACTTGGGCTAAACAAAATCCTCAAAAATGTGTTAAGCTGAGAGAATGGATGACTGAGCAAATGAACGAGTCAGTGGGCAGATGAGTGAGTGAATGAATGAATGCAATCAGGCACTCAATGTTTACTTAATAAAATAATTGGTGCTATCCAGACACATATATGTCCGTGATGAAAATGTAGATGTCATGGGGAAAAAATAGCATAAGAGAAATTCCACAATTTTCAAATACCAGAGAATCATTACATTCTATTCCCAGAAAGGTGAAAACTATGGTCAAAATAGCTTAAATCAAATTCTTCTATGGCTTCTAACCTAGGCTCAGTTTCTTTGTTAACTTATTGGTTATAATAACAAAGTAGATACCAGACTTAAGAACTTACTACCTGCCAACTAAGCATTTTGTATTTTCACTTGACTCTGTTAACAGCCCCAAGCAACAGACATAAGAATCTTCAACGAGGAGAACTCACTGAGTTAGAAGTCTTGCCAAGCTCTCAGAGCAGTTGGTGCCAAAGGCACTTTAGATTTGGCTCAGTTCATAACAGCCCACACTCTACTTGCTACCTTCTAAGGTCAAGAAGTACATGCAAATTTAAGTTGACTTATTGATCCATTTTCATTCTGTTTGCAAAGCCTCCACAGGTTCGGATATGCCATAGAGGATACATAAATTGGTAAATGAGCATGGTCTCGGCCATAGGAGGACTGGCAAGTTGAGTCTCATAAATCTCCAACAGAATTCCTTCTGTAAAGATGTGTGTCAACACACACGGCAGAGCAGTATGAAAATCTGAAAAGGTCTTTGTTTCAAAAGAAAACCAGTTTTGTCTCAGGTTATACTGCTCAAGGTACACAAATTCTAATGAAATCAGTAAAAATTTATAATTTTGTAAAGGCAGTTAAATGTCAATGTAAGCATAGCTGTGAAGTGAAACTTCCATTGTATTTAACAAAGACCAAAGTTTACATTTCAGGAAAAGTAAATCAGTACAAGGACAAGGTAATCAATTAACTTTTCCCAGTATTATCATGAAATTGCAAGCAAGTCTTTAATGGATGGTTTATGAATTCCTTTCAACCCACCCTTACATTTCCTTTTTTGCTTCATGAATGTTGTCTTCTTCCCCTAAAAAATGACACCCATTGGCATTCATTTATTCTGCAGTGGCTCCTACTTATTACCGCTTGCTAGCATCAATATACAGTTCAGAAAATAACAAATCACAACTAAAACAATGTAAAATCTGTAAAATCCTGTGGTCAGTAGAAAGGGTAGGAGGAGCAGGAAGGAAGGGGGAGGGTCTTGTCCGATAGTGGGGAGGTCACTGGAATGCAGTGGTGGGCTGCGGCCTAGAGACGCCCAAAGGAGAAGCTGTGTCCCTGAAATTTATGTAGTTCAGGAGCCTCCCTGGTGGGGAAGGGGCTAAAGTCTCAGCTCTCTCCAGTCACTGCAGCATGAGTTCGATCCCCACCCAGGGAGCTGACCCACATGGCACAGCAGACCCCTCCTGTCTCCCCTGCTGCTCCCCTCAGCAGTGCATTCCAGTAGATCTTCCTGTTCTGCTCCTGCCCTCTGACTCTGGTAAATCCCTTCACCTCCCACACTACTGGCCTACATCCCAGCTCTTTGATGCATAAATCAATAAAATGAATCTTTTTTAAAAATGTAGTTCAGTAAATCAATGGAAAAATCAATAAAATTACTTTTTTTAAAGATTTATTTATTTATGCATACAGAGCTGGGGAACAGGCCAGACGCTCAGGGGCGGTGAGAGGATTCACCAGACACAGAGTGGGGAGCAGAACAGGCAGAATGACGAAGTATACTGCTGAGGGGAGCAGTGGGCGGGTCAGGAGAGGTCTGCCATGCCATGTGGTCACCTCGCCTCCAGGGCAGGCAAGGATCAAACTCTTGGGGAAGTGGCTTTAGCTTCTCAGTGTTGTGCTTTAACCTGCTGCGCCACCAGGGAGGGCCAATAAAATTACTTTTATATATACATATTATATATACATTGTAGCACATATATGTGCATGCACACATGGTTTGGGGGATGGCTTAAAATCACAGCTTTGCCATTGATGAGCATAACTGACTCCTCTATTTTGGACTAAATTATAAAGGAACAAAGGTAAATTATATCTGAAAATAGCTAACACAAAACATTTGAAGGGTTTACAATTATTTCTCACTTTACCTTCACTAACATGTCCTCAACATTCAAGAATAATTCTTCTGCTTCTTTGATCTTGCCCATGAGCTTCAAAAATCTTCCAATAAAGAACATTAATCGGCATTTATCAATGGGAGTAACCTCAAAGGGCCTACATTCCAGCACTAAAATGGAAAGAAAAATAAATAGTCCTAAAGCATATTTGAAAAGAACAAGGAGACCTACTGCTTAATCTTGAATCAGGGGTCAAATACATCGTCCATCTTTCTGTGTTCCTCTCTCAAATTATGAGCACTTTGCTCTTATTAAGGTTTATGTACATTACCAAGTATTTTAAACTCTTTCATCCACATGAAAAACGATAATTACTTCAAATAATGTTGTTGGCATGTAAATTTCTGAAACTAGACAGAAGGAAAAGTGTTTCTCTCTAATTCAATCTGGATATTATTATAATTAACTTTTAGGGGAAATATTCAGGCAAGGAAAAAAGCACCTAAATATCTTACACAATTCTGCCCTCTGTTGTGACTATTTTGAATTACTAGATTTAATGGAAAGAATACGGAGCATACTCTGTGTGTGTGCGTGTGTGTGTGTGAATGCTATTAAACACCAACATATTGTAAATAAACAGAATTTTTCAGAATTTCTTTTACAAACATCCCAATATTTGAATTTGTACATTTGTCCATTTGCTACATCTCAAGTCACTTCATCTATTGCACTGGACGTATTTGATACAAACATAATCCTTGTTTCCATCTGTGCCTTTGCTCATGCCGGAGACCACCTAGATCTTGAATGCCATCCTGCTTTCTTTCTGCCAGTTTGTCTGTGGATGTCCATTCACACCCAGAACAAATATTTAACAAGTGTCTACTGAGAAGTAAGCCACTCCTCAGCTCTGAACACCAAGCAGAGCTGCGGAGGCTGCAGCCCCCCATTATTCCCTTGGAGCAACTGTTAGAAATTGACTAAGCCACAGAATTCAGAGTTTTTTTTTTAAAGATTTATTTATTTATGCACACAGGCCTAGGGTGTAGGCCAGAGGTGTGTGAATTCTCTAGTGAAAAGACACACCAGTGACAGAGTGGGGAGCAGAACAGGTGAACTGAGATACACTGCTGAGGGGAGCGGCAGGTGGGACAGGAGAGGTCTGCTGTGACTTGTGGGTCAGCTCCCTGAACAGGGCTCGAACTCCTGCTGCAGTGGCTGTGGCCAGCTTCACAGTGCTGAGACTTAACCCCTCGTACCACCAGAGAGGCCCTAGAAAGTTCATGTTTTACTCAGACAAATTTATCAATCATTTTCATGATTTACCCTTTTGCTTTCTTGCTTAGATTCTTCTCCAGTTTCTTAAAATTTTTTAAATATAATGTTTCATTTCCTTATATGTAACTCTAATCCTCCTGGAATTTATTTTGTGGTAATGTTTCAGGTCACATAATTTTTTACCAAATAATGGGCCATTATTATCAAGGCATTCTTTATTTCATAAATCACTTGATTTTTTTCCTAATGTGGGAAAGGCTGTCATCTCTTTCAAAGCAAACTCAAGGAAGCTTCTAAATAAAAATACTGGACACATTTTTTGTTAAACTTATTCTTAGAGATTTTTTTGTTTTCTGTGGCCCTTGAAAACTGTCTTGTGCTCTCTTTATTGTTCTATAGGGCCACTTTTAATATTTACTAAACAACTATACTCCATTTATCCAATATATTTAAAAGTTTCTGAAGAAAGTGAGGGCAAAGCTTCAAACTTGAGTTCATGAAAAGTTGGTACTATTCATTCTCATGTTCCAGAGAAGCTATTTAAACCGGCCCAACCACAGAAGAAATGTTCTGGGCTCAAAGACCTCTCTAAGGGTCATCAATCGGAGATGCTGCAGCCCCAGAAGAACCCAGAAAGGAGGGGTAACCCGGGCAGCGGGCTGGCAACCGTGAAAACTCCCAGGAAGAGGGAACCAGCAACCAACCGCGGAGTTGGCCTGCTTGTTCTCGTAGCGGCCACCAGGGGGAGCCAACGCCATAGTCCGGAGGGAGGACTGAAACAGCGTGGGGGGGGGGGGGGGCTTACACACGCCCCTCCAGCCCGCAGCCCGCAGCCCGCCTCCCACTGATCCCATCAAACTAGTGCGAAGTTAGGGAAAAATCGTCTTTTAAAGGAAATTTCCAGAAGCAGGCAGCGTTTACAGATGTAAGCAGCCTATTTACCTTTAACAACAGAATAAGAATGAACATCAAAACGGGTGAAGTGGAATTCTTTGCCCCCCCCAACACTTTTTATTGAAGTGGCTGCATTACAACATTATATAAGCTTCAGGTGTGCAGCATGAACGTAACGTGTGGAGACACCCGCTAAAGTCACCCGTTCTAGGCAGTTCCATCCTCCCTACCCTATGTTTGACCCCATTTACCCGATTTACCCACACCCTTTACCTCTCTGGTAACCACGAGTGTGGAAACTTATTTTTTATTTAGTTCATCTGTTCGTTTGTGTTCTGTCTACCACGTATGTGTGAAATCATTCCGTGTTTCCCTTCCTCCAGCTGACCTGTTCCACTAACACACTCTAGGTCCATACATGTGGTGGCGAATGGTGGTTTCATCTCTCCTATCTGAGATGCGGTCTATGGGTACACACACTGCAGCAGAGAGGAGTCTGAATTCTTTATCCAGTCCTCTGTTGCTGGGCGCTGAGGGGGTTTCCAGTTCGTGGCTGTTTTAAGTCCTGTTGCAATAAACTTGGGGCTGCATCTATCTCTTAGAATTAGTGTGTATTTTTTCAGGTTAATACCCTGAGATAACTAGATAATGAGTGGGATAACTTGATAAATGGGATTTGCGTTTTTAACTTTTTAAGGAACCTCCCTTCTGCTTTTAGTAATGACTGCGCCAATTTACCTATGTCCCCACCGAGAGGGCGCAAGACTCCCTCCTCCACGTGCTCTGCAAAGCTGTTGCTCAGGGTTAGGGTTAGAGTTTGGGAGGATGTAAAGGGAAGCTCCATTGTGGTTTTGACTTGCATTTCCCTAATAAAGTGATGTGCATCTTTATCACCTTTTCTGCCCCTTGACCACCTGTATGTCTTCTTCAGAAAGATCTGCTCATCTTTTAATCAGGTTGTTGGTTCGTCTTTGAGTTTTATGACTTCTTTATATTCTTTATAGTCTTCTGCCTGGGGAGGGGGGCCAGGCACTGTGACCGGGAGGATGCTCCCCATGAATCGGGGTACTCTGTGCGGACCTGTGCTGAGAGGGTACCTGGCACTACCTGTGCTCTGCACCCTAAACTTGTGTCCCCACCTGCACTCCTTGCTGCAGCAGGGCTGCACTTCTGAGCAGCTTCCCACGGCTGCTGCTGCCCCGTTTCCCACCCCCCCACCACTCCCGCTTCAATCATGGAGCACTGTGGATTCTACTCATGCCCCCAACAATTTTCATTCTTAACAGACTTTTCCTAAAAATGTAGCAGTATCAGAGGAGGGTTTTGACGTCAAGCAGCACAGTGAAGAAAATCATTTAAAATGGAATATTAAATGTTAATTAAATGCACTTAATTGGCACCCTTCTTCCCTCTGGAATTCTCACGCTTGTCTCCAGGCTCTCCTCCCTCCTCTCTGCCCCTTGTGGCTCTTAGTCTTCTGCTGGCCCTGCAGCGCTTCCCTCTCCCAGTGCCTGGAGGCTCTACCCCTCTCTGTACAGGCACCCCCAGCATCCTCTCTGCCTGGACCAGGTGTCCCCCACCAGCAGGCACGGCTTGCCAGACTCTGCACGGCGCAGCCCCTCGCCCTGCTCCTCTGGCCACGTCTCCCATTGGGTTAATGGCAATGTCACCCACGCAGCTACTCAGCCAGAAACGTGGGGTTGTCCACATCTCCACCTCCTGTACCCACTGTGGATTCTCTGTGCAGGACACCTTCTCCCCTGGGTCCCCTGGTCGCCCCCAGTCCAGGCCAGCACTGCTCGCACCTGCTCATTACACATCTCCAGGAAGCCATGCTTGTCGCTGCCCGTGACCTCCATCACACCACACCCAGAGTGGCCTGTTGAAGCCCAACCTGTCACACTACCAAAATCCCCACTGTTCTTAGGCTCAGGCTCAGGCTGAGTCCGTGGCTGCACCTGCAGTTGGGTCAGATTCCTCTCCAGTGCTCACGGGGCATTCACATGTTAATCATGTTAACAAAACGGGCTTGTTGAGTCCTTCCACTCCCCAAGCTCCCCCTCCACCCTGGCTCCTCGGCGCTTCAGGTAGGCTGTCACTTCTTCGGTGATGCCCGCTTTTCCCGCGATAAGGCCTCACCCCTCCTCCAGGCTCCTGCCCCCGCCCCTGCTCCGAAGTGCTGTATGTAGCCTGCAGACTTTTACACTAGGCCGCACATCCGGCAGGGACGGGGGAGTGGCTGTTTCAGCCACGCTGTGTGCCTCGTCTGGCCCCATGTTTGACACAACACAGGCACCCGGTAGACACTGCTGCATCAACCTGGGAGAGTGACAGCACTCACCCCCCTCCTAAACACATTTAGTACACTGGTGCCCTTCTGAGGCATCCTCCATGGAGGATGAGTGGATCAGGGCGATTCCAAAATGAGTGACATGGTAATGAGAGAACAAGCGAAGGCTGTAAGGACCCGAGGTGTGGTGGGACAGGATGGCCCATTCTTTGCCAACTATCGCAATAATTTTCCTCGCCTGTCTGAGACTCCGTGTTCAGCATTCTATAAAGAAATTAGCGGTAGCTAGAGATTTCCTGTTAACTACACAAGCCAGCACATATAAGATGACTTACGTCAGAGACTAGCTCATAATAAATACTCAGTCTCTGCTCTGGTCACTATACGGCAAGCCCCGGGAAAGCAGAGATCCGTGTTTGCCCTGCTTAGAGCTCACCTGGAACCACGTAGTCTCACATGCATTGCTGTGGCAGCAGGGCCCAGTGAGGCATGACCCGGGGACACCTCCGCTCACTTCAAAATTAACCCCTTTCCCCAGTTTCCTACCTTTGGAAATTGCTCACTTAAATTGTAGAGAAGGAGCCTCTCTGGTTGTCAAGGAGTCAAGTCTCAGCCGCCAACCCTAAGTCCTGAGTTCACCTGAGTTTGCTCCCTGGCCAGGGAGCTAATCCACATACAGCCCAGCAGACCTCTCCTGTCTCGCCTGGTGCTCCCCTCAGCAGTGTGTTTCACTCATTTCAGCTGTTCTGCTCCTCACTCTGTCTCTAGCTAATCCTCTCACTGCCCCCCCATCTCTGACTTACACCCCAGATCTTCCACACAAAAATTAAACAAATTATGGGGAGGGGCCACCAGGGAGGCCTGTCAGATTGGTCAGCTATTGAACAAAATGGAGAACGTAACCCTTGGCCACTCTGTACAATCCAGAGAACGGATGGGCGCATACCACCGCTTGCCGTACCTGACAAGGTGCCTTTCTTCTTCGTCCGATGACATCTGTCTGCCTTGATCTTGACCACAGTGAGTAAATAGGCCCCAGTGGCATCATACCCAGCGTCTGATAACACATTCCAGTAGTGGACGAGGTGCAACCTTGTCCAGAAGCTTGGGCTTCGGATCTTTGACAGAAGGTCTGTGATGCTGGTGACACAGTGGACAAAGTGAAGTCATTTCGGTAGTTCATGCCTGGAAGCAGCTACTTCACTCGCCACAGTCCACTAGCCAATCATACACTGGACCACCAGATAAATGCGGGCCTGTCCCCAGGTGTCGAAGCCAATGCTACTCCTCGGCCCAAGACCCGGCTCTGGGCAGTACCTTGACTGAGCAGGGTAGCAGCTGGCACAGCTCTGCACCCTTGTGGCGATGCCTGTTAGCTGTTCTGGGGCCAATCTTCCCTACCTAAGGGGCTTGGAGCTGCATCTCAGCAAGGGGCTGAGTGGGTCAAAGATAGATGTTTGAGGAGGAATGCATAAGGGAGAGAAAAGGAAGGGAGGGGCAAAGTGAGAGAGGAAGGGGGAGGAGACCAAGAGGGAAAGTGGAGAGGGAGTGACAGAGATGGGAGTGAGGAGAGGAAGGAGTGAGGAGGAGTGGGGGGAGGAGAGGAGAGGAGGGAAGGTGGGAGCCAGAGAACCCGCTAACTTTACTCTTCTCCAGCTGCCATCCTTGCTCCACAAAGCCTAGTCGCTTTGAGAAGAGTCCACGTACCTTCCAGAAGGGAAAGAACATCCTGCAGAGCATCCCAGGAGCCTCCCTAGGGGCCCACCCGGCCGCAGGAGCTGATGCCCAGGGACGGTTCCCTCCAAATGAGAAAGTGTGGGTGGCCCATGTTCAAGGGGTGGGGGCCTGAGCAGCATGCATGCAGGAGGCCAGGACCCACCTGGGACTTGACAGGAAGCTGCTCAGGTCCTCCCAGCAGCTGCTCATCTTCAGGTGCCACGGCAGCTCCTGGTACACCCTCCAGAACGCAGGGTGCTGCTGGAAGTGTCTGGCCAAGGCTCTGTGCAGGTGTGTCTTCTTGTGATTTGTGGGGTTCTGAAAAGAGTACGGGCTGCTCTCTCTCACAGGCATGATCACACCTATTGAAAAACCAGTTACAGTTGACAGCATCTGACTTCCCAGTGAAAACACTAGAACCACACAAGTCAGGTTACTTGAAAAAAGTCTGAAGTATTAAAACTCTATCTTCTAAGTCAGTCTGCATTTACCAGAGCATGGTTACTGTCCTAGATTTTCAGCAGCATGAAAGTGTGTTTATTTTTCACCTTGAATCTTCCCCCTCCCCCAAGGAAATATTTGCAGCCTACTTTTCTATTTTAAATACACACCATGGTTACGGCTTAAATAAGCCCTTCCACATGTTTGAGGGCATGCATGTGGCGACATTACCCTGACGCCTGGAGCTCACACAGGTCACCGGGTAGCCGAGCAGAGGGATGCTAGGTTGGGTGTTGGCCTGAGGAGCCGCGACAGGGAACAGCCCGTTGGGGAGGCGGCAGTGAGGAGAACGCAGTGAAACACACATTCGCTAAACTCACCACCTTCCAAGGCGACAATTTATGCCCCCAAATAATTACAATAGCAAAAAGATCTCTGAGCACAGCTCCCCACGGCAGATATAATAAGGACCAAACTTGAAATATTAGGAGAACTGGCCAAATGTGGTAAGACAGGACATGAGCACATGATACAGGGAAAGTGGAGCTGAGAGCCTAACTTGAAGAACTGCCCCAACCTGGTAAAAAGTGGTAATATATGTAAAAAAAAAAAAAAGCCGCAACGTTTCCAGAGCACAGTAAAGCAAAGACAAGATGAGGAAGGCCCAGATAATAAAGCAAGGCTCGTTGTTCCGACAGCCGTTCTGCTTTGCTGCTGGGATGGCTCCAGAGTATTACCTTCTGTGCTAGCTGGTATAAAATGTGCTCGCTTCTGCGCTCGCTTCCCGGGAGTGCGTACAGTGCTCAGCCCTTGGGGAAGGAGGCTCCTCCCACTACACTGGCACACTGGACTGTATGAATGCAGGATCTGGGCACAGGCTGGTAAGGTGGCTTAGGCATCAGCTGGGAAGTGAGCAAGCCAGGGCTCACCAGCCCCACCCCGCCTGACATTAGCACCCCGCCTTTAGTCCTGAGGCTATAGTGATTCCTTCTACTCAACGCAGGTTGACAAGAGGGTTTCTGGGGTTTTGGAAGGTTTTATGGCATGAGGGGTTTCCAAAAGAAATAGTGGGCTTTCTATGAGGCTCCCCAGGGTCTGAGAAGCAGGGGTTTGGAAGGAGGGCATGTGTGGCCCAGGTCACCTCCCACGCTAATGGGCCAGCACCACCCTGGCACCTTGCGGTCAGGACACTTTGGACAAAGAGACAGGGACTCTGGCTTCGGGTGGGGTTTTCTCACAGTAGGTCACAGGTGGCTTTGTGGAGCCAACAGAACAGCCCTGGATGGAAGCCTCCAGAAGAATCTCAGAGAATAAATGCTGGGAAATTAGCCTTTGGAGTCAGGCCTCTGTTACCCACAGCCAAGGACATGTCTCAATTTATATCACCATTTTTATATGTTTAGAGAGTCGATTCTATGTGGGAAATGGCAGCCACAGGCTCTCCCCCGTAGGCGACTCGCTCCCCTGAGCCAGCAGTCTCTACACAGGTGCCAGCCTCACCCAGCAGTATGTGCTCCACGGCGCTTCTCAGGGACTGGTGCCGGAAGTACAGGAGGCCGCTGGGCTTCTCCAGGACCCACTGCCTGGTGGCGTTGCGGAAGGCGGCCCAGTGCAGCCTCGTCACCTTGTGCTGATTCCTGTAGCCCAGCATGTCCAGAAGCTGGAGTACCTCGGCCTCGGTCAACCCACCATGCGAGATGCTCAATAAGCAGAGTGCGTCGGCCACCCAGCCGGTCAGCCCTGAGGAGACAACGTGAAGCTCAGGCTCTGCTTCCCCTTGAAAGCCTGAAAGGCCATAGCTTCACAGATGTCCCAATACCACAGGCAATGACCAGAGAAATGGCTGCAGAGGAGGCAGGGGAAGTTGGGGAGCAGCAGGCCTCCAAGAGGTGCGGAGCACAGACATTCTCTGCCAGAACACTGAGTAGCTACAAGGTTATAGGTGCAAGTGGAGGGTGGTGTTAACGGAGGAGCACAGCCTCCTTGATTTGGGTAAGAGGGTACAGCAGCAGTGGCCACAGATGGTGGCTTTCATCCATCAGCCTAAGAACAGGTGGGAACATGGGGTCCTATAAGGCCCCGAGGAGGGACAGCAGTGGCTGGGGACTGTCTGGGGCCATGATCACTTCAGCGGAAGGCAGCAGGTGACAATCAAGGACACCCAGCTTCAGAAGCCCTGGATAGAACGTGATGCCCACAGACACGCAGGAAGGACACTCATCTTTACTTGGATAAACAAAAAATCCTGAATTGACTGAAAACAGAGGGGTGAAATGAACCTGAGTTAAATGGACTAAATTTCTGCCATCTGTTGAACTGTAGAGAATGAGAGAATGAATTGAGCTACAGAAATAATAGGGCCTTGCTGGTGACACAGGGGGTTAAGTCTCAGCATTGTGAAGCTACCGGCAGTCACTACACATGAGTTTAATCCCCGGCCAGGGAGTGACCCACGTGGAGCAGAAGACCTCTCCTGACCTGCCCACTGCTCTCCCCTCTGCCTGTTCTGCATCTCCCCTGTCTCTGCTAAACTCTCATCCTCCCGCACCTCTGGCCTACACCCCAGCCCTTGTATGCAAAAATAAATAAATCTTAGGAAAAAAAAAAGGCCAGCTTCTTGAATTCCTGAAATGTGACTGAAACTTGCGCCAAGTACAGTTCCCCTCACAGTCGGCACCTACAGACGGGGCTGTAGAGGGAGACAATATAAACACCCGTCACCCCGTTACAGCTGAATCTCAGCGAAACAATAGGTGAATTTGGGATGTAAGTATATGCCAGCAAACCATTGGGATATGCTGAAAAGTATGTTAGTTATCTGTCATCCAAGTATTTGTAATGTATGCGCCCAGCCCTGCAGTATCTGCCACACAGCTACATGCAAAGTTGATTTGTTGCTTACCTGAGACTAACTGCAACTGTGCATCCTCTGTTTTCCCAGACAACCCTGCCCTGGGCCTCCCACCCCTGGGCAGGGATTTGTCCACCACAGGATTTTCTTCCTGTGGCTCATACCAAGTTATCCATCCTGGCCAAGGCCTACCTTCTCCTGAAGCCACAGTGTCTGAATCTGCCCTCATTTCTTTAAAAGTCCAACTATAATCTTCAGTCCAGCGTTTCAGAATCAATTTCCACAGCTCCTGAAGCGAGATCACCTCCAGGTACTCTTTCAGACACTGACACTCATCTCGGTAGATTCTACATTCTTTCAATTCGTTTGCTAGGATTGTAAGTTTTAAAGGACTCATGTTGGGTTTCTTCTTCAGAATTTGTCTGATCTGTTCAAAGAGGTTTCTGTCTTGGGGGAGGGAGAAGTGCTGTCGAAAGATGGTGAGTCTTGCTTCGCTGTCTCCCGCGTTAACGAGCTCCAGTGTCTTCACATCTGATCGGGAGCACAGTGCCTTGTGGGACAGGCTGCAGGAGACGGTGCTCATGATAAGTCTGCAGTGAGGCGTGATTGAGGGGGGCAGCCACGAAAAGTCTTTTGCCTGATGAAAAGAGTCCAAGACATTTGGAAACTGTAAAGATTTTACAACTGCTTTCCTGGTGGTCTGCAAACTTAGAGAATGCAGACCATGGAGAATGAGGGCTGGGATTAAGCTATTACTAGTGACTTGGCGACTAAGCAGTATGGTGACAAGGAAATACCAGCTCAGTCCCTACATCCACACTGACTCACTCACCTGCCTGTTTCGAATCTGTGCCAACGTGAGCTCTAAAATGAGGTTCCTATGAGCAGGTAGTTGAGCAAAATCAGAGACTTCTGAAGGTAACCTACAATGACGCATTCCATTGACAAAGTAGGGACTGTGTAGATCTGGAGAACTGTCGCTTTCGGCAGCCTCCAGTAAGTGGGTTTACTGTGGGGTAGTAAGGCCTTTCCCTGATGCCTTCACCTTTCTCGCCATGCCTGAGAACACCCACCACCACGCACTGACGCCCAGGCCCAGGTAGTATGCTGAGTACATCTTCACTTACTAACTGTATCAGTTCCATGTTTTAATCTTATGATGTTTTTACTCTCTCAAGGACCTTAATGATCCAGAGAGAGGCCACCCCTCTCAGGCTAGCTAATCCTGGGGGTGCTGGACAGTATTCCCGGGTCCACGTCTTCACCTGCAGACCAGTCCAAGACAGCAAGATGCTCCCACCTTCCTTCTAAGCTATCACACCCCTAGTCTAAATCATCCCAGGGCCAGGGGCCAGAGGCAGGACCCACAGCCCAGGTCCACAGCCATTATTCAAATGAGTCAGTCCTAAACCACTTAATCCTCCTGCCCTGCTTTCCCCTTGGAGACCACATGATGGCTTTGGCCTTGCTTTCCCTAGCTCCTGTCCTCACTCCCGACCACCCTGAGACTTCCCCTGGGGGCCAGGTGTTGTGGCATTCACCCCTCAGGAAATAGAAGTAGCGCAGTCTACTTTCAAGGGCACTGTCATCATGCCCTCACCCAGCCATGGCCTAGGAATGTGGTCCTGGGTATAGTGCTACTCACTACCTCACTCAGTCCTCCCGACAAGGCTCAACAAAGGCAGAGGAGGGCGCTGAAGCACAGTGAGGCTCAGTGTCCTATCTAATTCATCCTAGCGTTTGTCGAGTGTTGCCGGTGTGCAACTTCATTACAATAAACACAGATGCAAATATAGACATCCATAAAAAAAGGTTATACCCCAAATGTTCAGCAGCAGTGGATATATTTAATTTCCTGTTTTCTTCCTCTTTATCATACTTTCTCTAAGAAACATATTATCTATATAATTTGTAAGCATGAATATTTTGAAGCTTTAGAGAAAATGCTTTCAACAGAAACACTGACAATGTATTAGAGGTTCCACTGGTTCAACAGCACTTCAACAAGAAGAAAAACAAAAACAGTCACTAATCCACAGGACTTGGTAAATTCCATGCAGAGGAGGCGGACCAAAACATGAAACATGAAGAATGCAGCAAGGGCCCAATAAGTGCCTGATCCAAGTATAAAATAAGGGCGCAGAGCTGCATGGGCATAAAGACCACAGTTTCTGGAACCAAAGTGCCCCTTGTGTAAATTCTATGCACCCCCACCCCGACCCGCCCCCACCCAACACCTTCGCCGCCCATTCACAGCCTCTCCCTGGGAGAGTGCTGGAGTGAATCAAAACTTTCATATTATATAAGGATTTGTTCAATCAAATAGAAAGTTGCAACTGTATATAAGTAATACCAGATAGGCAAAGGAAAAGTACAATGCACATCTTTTCTTTTGACAAGGATTACAATAGGTCTTATGTTTAAAATACATTACCTTCTGTCCTGAAACCCCGTAAATGCCAACCAATTCTTCGATTCCATCTAGCACGAGAATACATGGCTTTAAGCTGATGGAAGCAATGAACACTTCTACAAGCAGTGAAAAGACCAAGACGTTTGGGTCTTCATTAAGAATATCTGGTTCAAGCTGAGTACCTACCGCATAGAAATTTGCTCAAATTAGATGAAAATGTCTCCATGATTGCTAAAATATGTTAGTGGCATGGGGAGGCATTGGGGCTTGGGGCCAATGAGCGCGGCTCATGCCTGATCAGCTGACACCTGTATGTATGTGTCTGATCCCCAGTCTCAAATTAGCCCGCCCAAGCGGGCTAGTGAGATGTCTGCTATACATTTCAGAATTTTAGATTAAAAAACATTTTGTACAGTCCAGAGCATAATTCTCATTTTCCAAAATACAAAAATAGATCATGTTACAAAGAGTTGACTGGGAAGAAAGAGAAGCCAGGCCCTGGGTCTGTGAAGTTTCACAGACCCTAAACTTAAGTGTCTGTTTAGGGATCACAGCCACACCCCAGGGTGGCCTGACAGTGCTCACACTCTGCACCTCCCATCTGCTGCCTACTCAATTTGATCTCAGCCCATCTTAACCCTAACATAGCTAAACCTAAATTCCTCCACCCACAGCACTGAACCCCCTACTCTCTGGAACTACCTGGGGAAAGCTAAGTGTGAACCTGCAAAGGGCAAAGGAAGTCACGTGAGAGGGTCACCTTTCAGACTGATTAAGGGACAGTTGCAGCACCCCAAAATTGTAGCTAACTACCTAATATTCTGAGAGCATTTTCCTATCCATAATTTCTGTCCTGCTTTTATTTTTCCTAAAGCAATATTTTCCTTAGCAATTAGCCATATTCTACTCTAGGATTCATATTCTAGGATTTAGAAAATAAGTTTGCAAAGAAACTTTATGGATTAAGATCTGTTAGGGTTACTGAGAGTAGCTATGCTTAACAAATATTTCTTGGTTGCCGTGTTCCATGCTAGATGGCTGAAGGCAGATGATCAACCATCCAGAATATAAAGTCACAGGGCCAAAGGAAGTGGAAATAGGTTCTGTACATTAAAAAAAAAACCCACCTCTCTGGGCAGAAATGAGTCAGAAAACTAATGGAATTTGATGGAGAACTGTCACACTCAAGAAAGACTGTGCAGAAGACATTTGGAAGGAGCTTTGGAGAATGCATGGGCAGAAGCAAGAGCAAAGGCAACCTTGTCCAGGGAGAAAGGCTTGGGCCTGACCAAGGGTCTGGGGGTAGGAAAATGCCTGAACATTTGAAAAGCGGGAAGTTATGGGGGGAGTGTTAGAATGGGGAGACTCAACAGGAACCTTCCAAGGATTCCAGACGCCCTACAAAACAGGGGAGTCACTGTCCCTGACTTTCAAACACTTGTCAGAGAGCCACATAGGGAACAAAAATTTTATAATTTCCTGTAAAAATCAATTTGAGGGCCCTCCCTGGTGGCACAGCGGGTTAAAGCACAGCACTAAGAAGCTAAAGCCACTTCAGCATGAGTTCGATCCCCACCCCAGAGCTGACCCACATGGCACAGCAGACCTTTCCTAACCCGCCCACTCCTCCCCTCAGCAGTGTACTTCATCAGTTGGTCTGTTCTGCTCCCACTCTGTTTCTGGTGAAGCCTCTCAACACCCCTGTGCCTCTGGTCTGTACCCCAGTTCTGTATGCATAAATAAATAAACCTTTTTTAAAAATCAATTTGATTTTATATGTAAATGCAAAGCATTTTTGCACAAGTTTAAAACACATTTAATTTTCTAGAAGTGTACAAATGGACATAAACGGACATATTCACATACACATTGTTTTGTCTGAAACGACACCAAGACTTGTTTGCCATTTCAGAAAATCACAACCTCCTCGTAATATTGTTTAAGATGTCTGCACCTTGAATACACCACTCCACCTCAGTTTACAGTTGGAGCTACTGCTTTTGTGGTTGTGTCCATTGTGGCGACGGCACCGGACTGCCTGTTCCTCTGTCTTCTGTGGGAGACAGGTCTGCTTCCACGATTAGCTATAAGCAGTCTTCATCTGCAAGGTCCCCTTTGTCTAGCAAGCAGGGGTGAGTGAGGGGCAGAAAAGTGGGCTTTGTGCTGGTGGGGACTTTAGATTCCTGGATAGGGAGGTCCCCAGCTCACAACCCAAACAGGAGCTGCGCCTACAGAAAGAAGGGGAGGCCACAGGAAAGCGCTCTCTGCAAACAAGCCGAATCTGCTCCAAGCAGATTGACCTCTGTGACCTGACCACCGACCATGGCTTTGTCCTCAGCCTACACTCCTCTTCCTCTGCCACATCCACCTCACCCAAGTCAAACCAGCTCTCCAAAAAGCCTGCCCGCTAAACTACCCTGGGCTGGCCTGTCTGCCAGCACTCCCTTCTCCCCTCTCCACTTCCTCAGGGGGCTTCAGTCCTGGTTTCTTTCTCCAGCTCAGTGAGGAATAACAGCAAAAACAACAACAGTGCTCATGACCACTGTGTCAGGTTCCATTTTATGTACATTACATCTGTTGCCCTTAACCCTCACCCAACTGTCTGGGGTAATCATGATGAGTCCCACGTGACGTTTGCACGAGAGCTGAGGCAGAGATTGGCTTAGTTAAGCTGCCCGAGATCACACAGCCTTGAAGAAGCAGAGCCAGAACCACGCATGGAGAACCCCAGCCCTGCCCCTGGGCTCCCCTCACAGGTGGAGTGTTCTTTCAGAGCCAGGGCGACGTATTCACAGGCCATTCCTGAGTCTAGTCACTGCTGTCAGACAAAATATCTGTTTAAAAGATAGTAGCTGTGTTTATTAGGCACTTTCTGTGCCTAAAAATACACTCATTAAGATAACAATTCGCTCTGGGAACATAATCAGCATCGGGTTCGTATGATGATTGAGTTTGTATCATTGGCTGGGCCAGACTAAACACCTTTGGGACCCACCTGAGTCCGATTAATCACCTTTTTATAAAGCCAATCACACCTGCTGCTACTGGTTTTGAGCTTTCCTGCTTCACCGTAATGAGAAACACAGCCGCAAAGACTTCATGCCCACATGTTCACCCTCTTTGTACACAGGCACCACACATACATAGAAAGTAGCTCAAATATCTGCCCTCTCATGCACAGGTAATATATACCTCCACCACAACTCATCCTGGGCCCACACTCAGTACCCACAACCCCCATGGGTAACTGTTCCATACAAGAAGAGCTGGGTTCCCCAGAGTCAAACTCAAACAAAAGTGTCAGTACACAGTAGGTGCCTAATAAAGATTACAGCTCATTCTGTGCCAAGTATGTGCTAAGCACCTGTTTTTCTAGCTTAATTCATCTTCTACACTCCCTGTAAAACACTTTCTTTTTGTTAGCCACACTTTGCAAATGGAAAAATGAGCTACAAATTGTTAAAAGAACTGGTTCAAGATCCTACAGCTAAGAAGCAGTGGCCTGGGCCCTGAATGTAGGCAGTCAGGCTCCCGGCTGCTTCTAGAACCACAGGGTTGTTACCACTCCTTGGACACACCTTGCATCTTAAATAATACACATCCAGGCAGAGCTTGCTTCCCACTGCCCTGTCCCCCAGTGCTGCCCAGGGTCAAGGAACATCTAGCTTGCCAGAGCCCCAAGCTAGGTGCACGCCTCAATTCCTCACTTTCCTCACCTCCCACACTCAATGTCTCTGCAAGTTCTCCATCCACCCCCCTCTGCAGCGGGAGCCATCACCCTTCTCCAGGTCACTGTCTCTTGCACAAACCATTGCAATAGCCTCTAACAAGTGTCCCTGACTCCAGGTTTGCTCCCCAATGTTCATTTCCACAAATGATGGTGATCTTTGAAAAAAATACCAATGATCTCATACCCTCCCCTGGTGAAGGACCCCCACTGCACTCATGAGTCCAAACCTACTATTGTGCCCTACAAAGCCCCAGTGTGGGGTGCCCAGGCTTCACCTCCTGCTTTAGCTGGTATAACTGCCTTGCAGCCCCCTTACAATCTGGCCCCCTTTCCCTTCACTCACTCAACTGTTTCCAGTTTAGGACCTATAATCACCCTAGCTGTTCCTTTTGCCTGGAATAGTCTTTCTTTGACCCCCACAAAGCCAGCATTTCTTCTTCACGAGATCTCTGAATGAAGAGTGTAGGAAAGTGGCTGCTCATCCTGCAAAAAACTCACACATACACCCCCAGCCCGACCTCAGCTTCCCATCCCCCCCCCCGGACCCCAGTGTGGCTCTGTGGGCTCAGGTCAGCCCAGTTCTCGCCAGAAAAATGGCATCTGACATGACATGTACTGCCTAGTCAGGACTCAGCAGGAACAAGGGTGCTTTTCTACTCTTTCCCCCTTCCTCTCGTCAACAGGACAGGTCTCTGAGGCCCTGGAGCATGAAAAGTCTCAAGGCAGAAAGAACCTGTGTCCATTCCCAGTTCACCATATGGAGGTCAACTTCTTGTCCACTTCCTAGCCAGGAGGCCCACACTGCACTGTTCCACAAGTGAAACGTTAGCTTCCACATGAGAAGCCACTGGGGCGAAGGGTAGGGGGAATGGCGTCTCGGCGGCTCTAAGACACAGCCCCTATCACTCAACCCAAAAGGCTTCCATGCCCTTATCTCACTCCACCGGGTGGCACGCATTGTAACCCGATGTGTTCCTGGTCGCTTTCGATCTTTCTCAGGCAGACAGACCCTCAGGGACATCTTATCAGTGGAAATCATGACCTCATCGGTCTGGCTGACTTCCACAGATGACATAGGGCAGGCCGCCAGTACTCACTCTGGAATGAGTGAATTCATGAGTTAGTAAATGAACATGCTTAATAAATATTATCAGATTGAGTAGAAGGAACAAAAACTGAGGAGGCGGTGGCTCTGAGCTTTCCTCGGACTGGATGGAGCGGGTAGAGGAAAGGAAGGGAGAGAGAAGGAAAGGAAGAAAAGAAAATTAAATTTTTTGCAAATATGTATGTGAGAAAATATGGAGCTTAGATTGGAGTAAAAAAAAAAAGCCCACATGAACAGAACAAAAAACAACTGATTTCTAACAGAAGCCTTTCTGAATGCATTTAAAGGCCTGATGCTATTACCATAGTGCGCATGCTGTAATTCTGTGATGAAGTAATGTATCACGGACATGATGTCACAGCTCTCGCAGGTGCTTCCCACAAAGTGAGGGATCAGCAGCATACCCGGGTGTTTCTTCTTGAAGTCATTCACCCAGCTGGCAAGCAGAGTGGACTTCCCACAACCACGGTCTCCAGACAAGAGCAAAATGGACTTGAAGGCCGGAAGGGAATTTACTCTGAAAAATAAAGGAGGGAAATGTAGTGATTAATAAAGGATGGTAATGATCTATAAAAGCATGGAAATTTTTCCTGTACATATTTGTCTCCAAGAGATCTGAAGTACCCAAATTTTGGAGCCAGTTAGCTCCAAGTAAGTCATTTACCTTCTGGGGTTTAGCTCTGCCCCATGTCATGTTAGGAAAGTTCTAACTAAGGAGGATGTCGAACTATGTAATCTCAGGGTGCTTGGCCAGTATGAACCTCCAGTTATGTCAAGGGTTTAACCTCCCCAGAGGTCCAGGGAGGGAGACTCAACCCTTGCAGAGTCCATTGTCTTAGTGCCTGTTCTCTCACCCCTCCGAGGGTCACAACTGCCACCCAGACTGGTCCTCCATGTCACATCATATTAGGAGATAATTTAGAAGTCCTTAGGCACCCCTGTGCCTAAGGTTCCCATCAGTACTGAAGACCATGGTCAAGACATTCAGTGAAGTGGCCATAATGTCAGTGACCCACACCAAATTAGCCTTCTTTCCTCCCAGACTGTGCTGGCTTATACAATGCTGCAGAAATACTATTTTTTTGAAGTGGTATGAACTTAATATAACTTGTTCCTCTGCATTCTTTTTAAGCAAAGAGCTTCTGGATAAGCAGAGAATTCCCAGGTCCAAGGATCATGCTTATAGACTCCAATTCTATTCCTTACACAGCTGTGATTTAGTAACTCTGTGTCTAGTGATTATTCTTTGATGTAAGTTCCATGCAGGCAATTACCAGGCTCATTCACTCACCAATGGATAGTCGGTGCCTGGCATTGGTATGGCACCAGATCACAAATTGTCAAGTCAGTGAATAAAATAAAATAGACAAACCTGGCATTTAAGTTCAGCAAAACAAGAGAATCAATCTGAAAATCCACTAAAACAGAAAACCAAAAGCAGGATTCTGGAATAGTAGTTATTCCATGAGAATTCCATGTCAGATAATAGGAACTGATGCCTTATTGCCTTGATTATTTCGCCATCAAATTCAATGGTAGGGTTTCATTTGTGTCCCACATTCACCTGTGCTGTCTTTCAGTCTCTGCTCAGTAGCGAGAGTGAACCTATCAAAGTATGTCACAGATTGGCCCTCCCTGGTGGCACAGCGGGTTAAAGCACAGCACTGAGAAGCTAAAGCCACTTCAGCATGAGTTCGATCCCCGCCCTGGGGGTGACCCACATGGCGTGGCAGACCTCTCCTGACCCGCCCACTGCTCCCCTCAGCAGTGTCCTTCCTCGATCTGCCTGTTCTGCTCCCCACTCTGTCTCTGGTGAATCCTTTCACTGCCCTTGCACCTCTGGCCTGTACCCCAGGACTGTATGCACAAATAATCTTTAAAAAAAAAGTCACAGATGACAGCTCTGCTCAAAAGCAAAGCCCAAGTCCTTACAACCACCTGAGAGACCAGACAGTCCCCACCCCCCACCTTACCCTTTTCCTCTCCAACCTCATCCTCTACCACCTGCCCTACAATTCTGACCTCCTTTGGGCCTTTCTGGCATTCCTCCAGCCCCAGGATCCCCGTACTTGCTGTTCCCTCCCTTTGGAATGCTCTTCCAACCCACAATTGCATAGTTTGCTCCCTCACTTCCAGCCATTGCCCAAATGCAAGCTTCTCACAGTTTCCCTCACCTGCCAGTCATCCTCTTCCCTGCCAAGGTTTCCTTTGGACCACAACATCTACTGCACACTTTACATATTGATTATTTTGTTTCTGTCTCCACAATGGAAGCTCCATGGAGGCAGGGACTTTTGTCTCTTTTTGTTCACGCTGTATGCCCTGTGTCTAGAACACTTCTAGATACCTAGCTGGTAAAATCAATAGAGTGAGCAAAAATGTATTATGTGCCTAGAATTAGAACAGGGTCTTAATGATTTCTTCTCAAAAACAAACAGAAAATGAACTCTGCAATCTGCTGCTTTCAAAATGAAAAAAAAAAAAAGAAAGAAAAGAAAATACTATTATTCTAAGAGGTTGGACATTAAGATAATGCTTTAACTTCCAGAACACCCTATTCTGTTGCCCTGTCCATACTACTCAGGAACTTAGAGAACAAAGCATTGTTTCCAAATGGCAAAGCAAACACAACTCTAAGCATCCATATAACTCATCGCAAAGGCTTCATTTAAAAGTATTTTACTGGGCACATTTGGAGTTGTTTAATCACAGTAAAGTTTATTAAGTTTCCCAGTCACTCTGAAATACTTAAGATGATAACCTGAGATACAATTCACATACCAATAAATTCCCCATTTTGAATTACAACTCACTGGTTTTCAGTATATTCACTAGGTGGTAGAAACATCACCACTACCTAGTTCCAGAACATCATTAGCATCCCCCAAAGAAGCCACAAACCCCTTTCGGCATCACCCCCATTTTCCCTTACTTCTTCCCTGGCGGCCAATTAACCTTCTCTTCGGATTCATCTATTCAAACATAAGGGTCTCAGCATATGGCCTATATGTTTAAACTCCAGCAGTCTTAAAAATCCTGACTAAAACAGGAGAGGTCTAGCATGCCAGTGCACTTCGTCAATCTGCCTGTTGTGCTCCCCATTCTGTCTCTGGTGAACCCTCTCACCACCCCTGTACTGCTGGCCTGTATCCCAGTTCTGTATGCACAAATAAAAATACATCTTTAAAAAAAATCCTGACTGAGTACTAGGTCGTTTAACCAAATAACTTCTCTTCCTCTTAGCATGGTTTTCCAGAATCACAAGACTGCTGGTTGCTCTGTGGCAGGAAGGCTAACTTGGGGAGACTAGAACAAGGGGTGCAAGGCAGCCCTGAGCCATTCCTGCCACTATGGGTTTACCTCAAGTCACAAGTCTCACAAAGTAAGTGAATCTGTGGTAAGAACTGGAGGGTGAGAATAGAGAAGCTAAAACTGTTCTAAGGAGGGATCTCCTTAGAGACCTGGTTCTTCACACCCCTGTCTTTTCTTGCCTAAAGACGGTGAACACAGTATATCACCAACCTGGGTGGGAAAAGATGTGGGAGGTTCATTGTAGAGGACAAAGGAAAACAATGGAGTGTAGACACTGGGTAAGAAACAAGACTCCTGGCCCTCCCTGGTGGCGCAGCAGGTTAAAGCACAGCACCGAGAAGCTAAAGCATGAGTTCGATCCCCGCCTGCCCCAGAGGTGACCACATGGCATGGCAGACCTCTCCTGACCCGCCCGCTGCTCCCCTCAGCAGTGTACTTCGTCCATCTGCTCCCCACTCTGTCTCTGGCCCTAAGCCTCTGGCCTGTACCCCAGTTCTGTATGCACAAATAAATAAATCTTTAAAAAAGAAAAAAGAAACGTGACTCCTTATGCACAAGCACAAATAACGATATGGCCCTTGCAGACAGTTAATGTATTGGCTGAATATCTTAATGTAGTCAATAATGAGCTCATGGCATGTGTGGCAGCACTTTGTAAAATATATAATGCTGTACTGATACATTATTGATATTTCCAAGTCTGATTTTTTCCTCCTTGAAGTAATTACATAAACAGGAATTACTTTACACCAACTCTGATCTATGGGGAACACAGAGAAGGGAAGCCTCTGCCCGCATCTTGAGACTGGAAGGAAGCAAATGGAGTGGCTAGGAAGACTGCCAGTGCAGAGAGTGGCATCTGATTAAAAAAAAAAAGTTCAGAACCCAAATGTGGCATTCCAGGGGGCTCTCTTGCCAGAAGGGATGGGCAGAAAGACATCCCCAATTGGGGGGGATCACATTTACTAATGTCAGGCTGTTTTGCTGGAGCCTGGTGAAATGGCTGGGCATTTCTTGACATCTCACCTGAGAACAGACTCTAAACTGGAACCTGAAGCTGCTCTGTTAAAATCGAAGTCCACATCCTTTAAGGCAAATCTTTCCAAAATGTCAAAGATCCTGTTCGACTCCTTAGAAACAACAAACACTTGCTTGCAATTCTCAATAAACTCTTCATGGTAGAAACGATCAAAGTTGTGCTTGTAGTCTTGACAGTCAAAGAGATAAGTTTTAATATTTTAGATTTGCAGTTTGACACTTTCAATTACCTCTGGTTGTTATGAGTGCCCAGGGAGGAGCTACCATCTGTATCCTCATCACCTGCTTTCTATAGAGGTGCCATATTTCACCAGCCATTCTATATTCTAATGAAAGCAAACTACAGGCAAACCGCTTACTCTTCCTAATGCCATTTGTACACAATATCCTACTTAGGGTTACAAGTTATTGCATGACCTCAGAATGACAAGAGGAAAAAAAAATGGATTTATCTGTATAGTCCCTCATCTTTTCAGACTGTTAGTTAAGTATGAGGAATGTAATTCAATCTTGTGATACATGTGTGTGTGTGTGTCTATTTCAAGGGCTGGGGTATAGGACACATTTTAGACTCCTATATGTGATAACAGTATGGGCACTGGGCATATCCCTTAAGCTCTCTGGTAAAATAAGGAGCTGTGTGAGACACTGGATCATCTCTGAGATTCCTTCTAGTTTCAATTACTGTAGTTCTAAACTCATTGCCTAATTAAGTCAGAGTGTTCTAGACTGTCAAATTGCCTTCATGTCTCTGGAGACAATTAATTCCCCAGGATTTTTTTCTTTTCTTATGAGGGGATCAAGTGTGTTACGGGGTAGGTGCCCATGGCATTTACCTTTTAACGCAATAGTTAACTGGCCTGCCCTGTGGTTCGGGTAAGGAGCCAAAGAGACCTGGATCACCTTCAGTCTGGGCCAAAGAGAGCTTCTAATTCCAAGGTTGTAGACAGAATCTGGGATAGCCCCACAGTCCAGCAGGTCTCCTGGCCCTTATTCACTAAACTCAGTTACTTCCAAAATCCGCTGAAGTGCATCAAGTGTATGAGCCAATAGCTCTATATTCCCTCACAATAACTTCCTGTTGCCCAAAAGTTCCATTGCTACCCCAGCTGTGAGCTTTTGGAACTTTCTGGGTAATTAAAAGATAGCAAAGATCCAAAAAGAAAGGTTAAGTTAACATTTCTTTCTAAAGGGTTTTCTGTAGTCCAACCACACTATACCTTCTAATTCAGACACTAAATCCACATCTTATATATCCCCCCAAAAGCCTAAGGCATGCTAATCTTCCAATAACCAGAATTAAAGACTAAAGAGAATATTATGGAGAAATAATTTATCCTTAATCCAAATACACAGAAAGGCTTGATTTTTTTATTTTTTAGCTAAAGTTGACAGAAGCATTTCAGATTGAGATTAGCTGGAGAACATCACTATTAACCAAATTAACCACATTTCAGCCAAATGTATATTCTCCCAGCATTCATCTGTTATTCATTCTCATTAGCTATTTGCTTCATGTTTGACATGTAGTTTACATACTTGTGTTTTAGGTGCTTTCCATCCCACTGTAAACCAATTATATAGAAGAAACTAAGACTTAGCAATATTAACTTATCTGGTGAAGTTCATACAGGTAGGAATTGAAAAATCTAAAAGCTATTAAGCAACTTTCATTTGCTCGTTGGTAAAACTGGAAGTGTAGTACCTACCTTGCCGGGTTACATCTTTAATCCAAATGTGATCACACACATAAAGGCTAATTAATAAGAGTTAGCCCTCATCCCTTGAAATGTGGCATTTTTAACTTTGGGGCAGTGACATTTTCAATGGGATTCTCCTTAGTCATGGGGCTGTGCTGTGCTCTGTGGGAAGTTTAGCAGAGTCCCTGGCCTCAATCTGGTCAATGCCAGTAGCACTCCCCCCTACTGTGACACTAAAAATGTCTTCAGACATGGCAAAATGTCCCTTAGGGGGAAAATTCAGCCTGGCTGAGAACCTCTGCTCTAGTATCCTATGTTAACTGCCAGATAAATGCAGGTCTTCTCCAAAATCCTTTATTCGTAGATAATCTCCCATGAGCCCTGATGTGCTTTTATTTTCAGTTTCAAACTTTTTTCAAATGGAGAAATGCACATTTCAGAGATAGAGGACTCCAATTTTAAATGCTTAAAGAGTATTTTTCAATCATTTTAAAATTCCTTTCACAAAGGAAGACACACACCAGATGCATTATCCCTATGTTGACAATAATTCGGCTGTCTCCATATTTACTGACCTATATGTTCAGTCATCAGAGAGGTTGGGTAAAGTTTTTCTATCACACCCATCCAGTCCTTGAAAACCAGCTCACCCAACTCACTGAGATCTTTATAAAACCTGACTGGGAGCCCTTTGCTCATAATCCTGGTCTTCAGCTTTTCAATCTTTACTTTCTCCTCATCACTTGTCAGGGAGCCTGAGGGAAGACGCGCCTCCTTGTTGTCCAAAGTCTTCGGCAGTGTGGCTCCGGCTCTGAAGTAAAAGTACTGAAACTGAGACTCGTTCAGAAAGGCTGCCTGGATAATCTCAAACTCCACCAGGCTGCAGCTTGGATTCTCCAGCACCCAAGGATAGCCATTGGTAGCAGCCACATAGAGATTCTGTTCTATGATGGATAAACTTGACAAGTCAGTTGCTTTGGAGAAGGTGATGGGCGAGTAGTCGGCACAAAAGTCCCCGTACGTGTGGCCCAGCACACAGATGAAAAAAGGAAAGCAGCTGTTCACATAGTCAAGACAGAGTTTCAGGTGCTGGGAGTGGAGACAAGCATGTTGTCGAAAGCGGCTGGAGAGGAAGGGCACGTGGGTCTTCAAGCCCGGCCACCGCAGGTCCACAGCTCTGAAGTAGGTGCCCCGGGAACTGCAGACTGTGTTCAGCTGAGGGAAGATGTTGCTGTCCAAAAAGTCTCTCTCCTTCTGACAATCATTCAGAGTCCAGCAGATGTAAGGCTGAATGGGCTTCTGGGGCTTCAGAACAAATTGGGCACACTTAACATTCCCATCTGCCTCCCGAATCATTTCGCTTTGCTCAGTGGTGGCTTCCTGGTTAAAATATAACAGTTTTGTCCTGGAGCAGCCACTCACCTCTGCAGCTTCTAGACTTTCTCTTAGAAATGTTTGTTATAAACAGAATGAAATCTTCTCCAAAATGGCTTCTTTCTTATCAGTGTTTGAAATTGAAAGATGCCAACCAACAGGTCAGAGTTGAAAAATGATGAGGTTACGTTAGGACTGGAAAAGAAAAAACATGCTCGTTCAGGATTACAAAAAGTCCGCACCTCCCCTGATCTTGCTGAAAAGCTGAGAACCACAGGGTGTGGGGGTACTGGACGTCAGGCCCTCCTGTCCGCCAGCCTCCCCTCCACCTTTCCCAGCGTCCTTGGGCCAACAGCTACTTCTGCCCCCTGTGAAGCAGAAAAGTAGACAAGGGCACTTGCTAACAGTGCAAAAAGGAGAGAGACCCAGAAAAAGATTCTAGGAGCAGAACAGCCACGGCCTCCAACTGTGACCAGAGCAAGAATGAAAATAGGTGGGAAGCTGAGGTCAGGACAAGGGGACATGTTAAAACATGGTAAGGCCCAAGACGAGGGACGTTCCCGGCACATGAAAGACAAGGAAGTCTGCAGCTAAGAAGCTTTGTAATCTTGTTTTTTACTCTTGCATTGAGCAGATTCATACAACATTCCATACACCTAGAAGTGGTGGGAATTCAACTCCACCATGTTGATAAAAAAATACACACTCTCCATCATGATTGTCGACTTGCTTCCTCTTGCTCAGAGGCAAAGAAGGAAATGGAAACTAGCTACTTCTATGAGCTTTCTCTTGATGCAAATCATTCCCATTCCAAATGTGTCTGGTATGTTTGTCACTTTCATCTATGGAGAAAGTACATTGTATTATAATGTATGTGACAGTTTTTCATCAAGATCATCTGACAAGAACAATGCAGGACCTTTTTAAAAAGTGTAAATCTTTTTGCCTGTAATCGTCATTATAATCTGTAGATAATATGACCATCCTACTTTATCAATGAAGAGATGAAAGTTGAGATAAGATAGTGTATACAAAGTCATCTGGCTAGTAAATGGAGCCCCAGGAGCTATCAAGCATATCATCCTGACCAGAACACCTCCATGGTATAGAGATGAAGCTTTGGGTCATAAAGACACCCTTTATTTACATGTGGGAAACACCTATCCAATAAATGATATTGTCATAAATAGGTGGCAATCTAAAAAGACAAAACATATTTTAAACTGTAACCCCACACTATTGTACCAAAAATTTAAATTCTGAAGGCTAGAAGCCATCATGAATGCTTTATTAATAGAGGCCTTACTTGTCAAGTAGAAGGGTAGAGTTAGATTATCAGCTCTTGGAAATATCCACCTTCTATTCCCATGTTATCAGAGGGCATTTCTACCTTGGTCTCTATCATGTCCTCAACGCCTAGCCTGGCTCAGAGCAGGTGGTAGGTAAATATTTGTTGAATGAAAGAATTCAACATAATTTTTTAAATGAAAAGAAAAAGCAAATATTTATCAAACCTACAGAACCTCCAAAATTTGTAAGCTGTACAAGGAATCACAAAAGAAAAAATGGACAGATATAATTATATTTTTAGAAGACCTGGGCAAGCAATAAACTGTAAAAAATATTTCCTACAGACCCTCCCAGGTGGCGCAGAGGGTTAAAGCACAGCACTAAGAAGCTAAAGCCACTTCAGCATGAGTTCGATTCCCGCCTGCCCCGGAGGTGACCACATGGTGTGGCAGACCTCTCCTGACCCGCGCGCTGCTCCCCTCAGCAGTGTACTTCATCGATCTGCCTGTTCTGCTTCCCACTCTGTCTCTGGTGAAGCCTCTTACCGCCCCTGAGCCTCTGCCTATACCCCAGTATGCACAAATAAATAAATCTTAAAAAAAAAAATTCCCACAAATCAATTTATCTTTCTTTCATGAAAAATAGGGACATCTTAGTTGACATATAAGCAAAAGATACAAATAGGCAAGAAGAAAAATAATGTAACAAAACATAAAAACATATTCAACCTTTCTAGAATTCAAAGATATTTGAAAATAAGCAAAAACACAGTTTTTTTTTAAACTATAACTGTCTAAATACTGATGAAAGTTTGTCACACATAGCTGTGGAGTTATAAATCAGTGATTTGGGAAAGCTATTGGAAGGTGCATTTAGAAAGTAGATAACAAGACACTTTAAAATACATTAAATTGTTTATAATTTTTGAGTCAATGTTTCTCCTTTCTGGAAATCAGTCCAAGGAATCAAAATGGTGAGAGATGAAATGTTCACTGCATTGTTTATGATAGAAAAAAATAAAGAAAGCAAAGTAAATAGACTTCAGTACGGGAATAATTAAGAAAAAATCCAACCACTGATGGTAGGTTGTACCTCTATTAAAAAGATAATTATGGACTTCTGCTTACAGCCATAAAGAATGAGACTTGCCTAACCTGTTCAAAAAATTTGAAAACTGGACAAAATATACCAAGTGGGGCCTCCCTTGTGGCGCAAGTGATTAAGTCTCAGCCCTATGAAGCTGTCCAAAGCCACTGCAACACGAATTCAATCCCCAACCAGAGGCTGACCCACATGGCACAGAAGACCTCTCGTTTTGTCCACTGCTCCCCTCAACAGTGTATTTCGGTAGATTCACATGTTCTGCTCCCTACTCCGTCACTGTGAATCCTCTCATCCCCCTACCTTTGGGCTTACACCCCAGTTCTTATATGCATAACTAAGAAAAAATAAATCTTAACCAAAAATATTGACATTAGCAGGTAGGCATTTCTATCTGGTTCCCAATTCCTACTGGAATAGGTTTTTGTGTTTAGATAAGTTGTTTTTACTTTTTTTTTAAGATTTATTTATTTATGAATACAGAACTGAGTTGCGGGATGGTGAGAGGACTCACCAGAATCAAAGTGGGAAGTAGAACAAGTAGACTGACAAACTCCACTGCTGAGGGGAGAAACAGGTGAGCAAGGAAAGGTCTGAAATGCCATGTGGATCACCTCCGGGGTGGGGAATGAACTCTCAGGGAAGCAGCCAGGCCAGCTTCACAGTGCTGCGCTCTAACCTGTTGCCACCAGGGCAGGCCCTGTTTTTAGTTACTTTTATATGAAAGTGTAGTTGACATATAACAAATTATTTTTATAGTATAGGTTGATTTTTAACCACCATCAAGATCAAGTTCATTTCCATCACCCCAAAAAGCTCTCCACACTGCAGTCATTCTTTGCTTTTTACATATCAGCTCTTACAATTCTGCTGCTTTTTTTCTTTAAAGATCTGTGATATTCATTTATGCATACAAGAGCTAGGATATAGGCCAGAGGTGTGCAGGTTGGGGGTGAGTGGACTCACCACAGAATGGGGAGCAGAACAGGTGGATCTATGGAAACCACATGGCTGAGGGGCCCTCTGGGCCACCAGGGTGGCCCCAACTCCACTATCAGTATTTGTTAAGGCTCTATGAACAAATGGTACTATATTGCTCACTCTGTACTCCAAGAGCCTCACATACTACCTAGCATTTACCAGTTCCTCAACGCTTACTGCATGAGTGAATGAACAGATGAGTGAACTAACCAACCCACCTACCCACAATTCACCTTAGTGTAAGCCCCATTTCTAATGTTCCCAAATGCCAACTGCTTTTCTGCTTTGTTCTTCCCAATCTACATTTTCCTGGTAGCCTGGCTTCTGGGCTAAGATGCAAAGAGCTATCTATTGCCCCTACTGGCATTTCTTAGCCTAGTAGACTTTTTCTTCTGAGTTCAATTTACAAGTTAGGGTGCTGCTGTCTGGCAGGGTTAGGTATGCTTTAGAAGCTTAAAAACAACAAAGGCAGATGTTTCTAGTTATGACCATGGACATAAAGTGAGAAAAGGGGGTAAAAATGAAACAAGGAAGCAGGGAATCAGATCCAATGAGTCAACAATCTGTTAATAATCTGGACAGTACATTCTGAAGAGTTGTTAGACCAAGGTAGGAACTGTGGATCAAGAATGGATCAAAAAGCAGAAGAGAGGGACACCACAAAAGAGAAACCTCAAGGCAAGGAATTGAATGAGTTGCTTATCCTTTTACAGGGTGACACTCAAAGATCCTGTCTTAAAGGGGCAGCGCTGAACCAGACAGCTCCCAGCCATCTTCTCCCCTCTTCCGGTGATCTGCCTGCTCCACACACTGCCACTATGATCTGTAGAAACACCTACTCACAATCAGCGGTTCTATTTTAGAGGGCATGTCTCATTCTCAGTTTCCTCCAGGTGCAGCACCAACTACCCACCACCACCAATTAAGATGGAATTTGCAGTTTCAGAGCCGGTGGCTTACTTATTCAGAGCTAGAGAAAAAGGTGAAGCAGTTGAGTTATGCAATGCAGAAAAGCCAAGTTACCTTTCTCTAAAAACTACAACAAAAAGACAAGAATTAAAACATAAAAACGCAATTATGTGAGACTTCTGTAACTCACACCCTACTCTTTAAAAAAAATAAGTGTAAGCACAGAAGTGTTAAAAAGGCTTTTGTAAACTACGATTTGCTTACTAATAACAGATGTAGGTAATTTGAGCAGATGTAAATAAGGCACTACCACACACTGTGAACACCAACCACAGAATCGAGATAGGCAAACCGAAATTGGGGAAGTTGTAAAAAATTATGACAGACTGTCACTGAAAAGCTTGTCTTCAGGAATTCGTACGGCCACCTGAAAACAAATTCGGAATTCAGGTTTCCGGGAGGAAGCACTACGGGAAGTGTTTCCTGGAAGCGGCGGGCGGGTGGGGGGCAAGGCGGGTACGTGAACACTAGGTTAAAGAGACTTAAAAAGTCTTTCCCAAAGCGCAAATGTAGTGCGAGACGTCCCTCACAGGAAAGACACCTGGCGCTCTAGGGCTTTCTAAAGGCTGACTGGTGTTTCTACGAAGTCACCAAGCTGCACTCCCCATTTGCAGCCCCACGGGTTTTGCTTTCAAATACCTGCAGGTGTGTCCTCCTGCACTCTAACCTACAATCGGTTGGGGGTTTTTCTCCCTTTTCTAAACTAAGCCAGGCTTAACTACCAGTGCTCGCCACCAGACTTACACCAGGGACGCAACTTTATGAGAGTCGATGGCACCCGCTTCGTTAGAAACGTCCCTGGAGGGTGGGGGATGGGAGAGGTGGGAGGTACACGGCCCCACTCCCCT